TTAAAAACATACTGTGTTGTAAAGGTTCCTCTTCCCTGCATCTTTGGCGCAGAACAAAAAGCGTGACTCCGGAAACTACTTTGCTGCAAAAATGCTCTTACCAAAAAGTATGTTTTTGTCGTGCCAGACGCTCGCGCCGTTCATAGTGAAAAGCGTCTGACTCGCAACTAAAGGGTCGTGGGTTCGAATCCCGCCTAAAATTCTGAATTTTTTTTCTTTAAAGCAAAATAATTACTTTCAAAAGTGAAATCATTTGAGACATACGGCGACCTTTAATTCGCATTACATGTCATGTTTTAATCACTCTCATTCCACGCGTGATGTCACGTTTCACGTGAGCATTGTGGATTGCTTGAAATTCTTGCGTGAGGGTATGTAGCTTTGACGTCATGAACCTATCGACCAATCAGGATTTTCCAGTCACGCCACCCAGATCGGCTTTTCTGCGACATGAGCTCCTTAACGCTATCGAGTTAAAATCATCAGTTAGCAAAGGTGATGCTCATTTGCAAATTACATTGACCGGCATCTTGTCAAGAACAAACCTCAACAGCCAGGCTATGCCAGCTTATTCTGCATAAGAAAATGTTCACTTGGGCAAGCGCTATTTTGGGCCAGATTCGATCTGAGTGCGAAGGTGCGTATAGATTAGAGTAACAATTGCGATTACTTCTTGCTGCATGATTAGTGGCATGCATGCGGTGCTGAGTGTAAACAATGTTTGGTTAGAACAACAAGCATTTGGATTGCCGCTCGATTTTTCTATAAAAAATAGACTGAAAGGAATTATTCTAAAACTTTTCTTACATTCCGAACGTTTCATTGCTTTTAGCTCAGTTGTGTCGTCATCATATACATATATATTGTGAAGTGTATTTCGTAAACCTTATTTTATAATTAGCATGAGCACGAAGTGCTCATTTCATAATTTTATGTGATGCAATTAATTCCTTAGTTAAAGGACACAATCACGATTTCATTTTTAACACTGCGACACAAAGTTGTACCAATCACGGGTATTTTAGGCGACCTACCACACTTTGCGACATTTTATATCATGTAAATGGATCAGCTTGAACTTTAGAATTTTACTTAAACACGAAGAAAGCACAATAAAATACAGTATAGTTCTAAATTTGACGCTGATCTATTTACAAGTATGTACCAACCAGCTCAACTCTTTACTCTTGTACTTAAACATTTTGATTCAGGTAAAATATATGTAACTGGTATACAAAGGGATGTGCAGTCGTACGAACACGACGTTATGTATGTACATTAATGTAGATTTTATTTTACTGTTGTGTCGAAATTAAATAACTGAATTCCATAATTTTGGTACCTGATAGCGAAAGTGAATTGCACGGACGATAGGAGAAACTTTATAGTTAATCGTTTCAGGGCGTAAATAGTGTCTATTGCCAGAACAACGCGAAAATCATATTATCAATTTAGCGGTTCAAACTGGTTCGAACCGGTTCGAACCGGTTTGAACCGTTATTTTTTGCTCCCCGGAACTGAACCGGAACCGAACCGAAAGCCATGAACCCGAACCGGAACCGAACCGATAAAAATTTCGGTTCGACACTCTGGTCTGCTCTGCCCAGTGGCGGCCGTTTCAGGGGGGGCAAAACGCATGCCTTGCCCCCCCACTCTGAGAACTGGGGGGGCAAGTGCCCCCCTTGCCCCCCCTGGTTGGTACGCCCATGGGGTTACGTCAAACGTAATGCTAGACACTGCGTAAAACATGAACTAATTTCAACGTAGCCGGAAGTCAGCCTTGTCTCAAGTGTTCACGATGTTTATAAAGTTTACCAACTTGCCTGGCTTTCTGCTTTTGTTTCTATTCAACAAATTTCTTCCAGTGCACTTGTCGAGCTTCGTCGTCTGTTTCAAACTACAATACTTTGAACCTTGTGCACATGTCACGGCCAATCACGCCAACAGTGCAGTAAGGAATTGGAGTTAATTGCTGCGTGTAAAAGAAAGCTGATAAAAAAAATCATGGGATGATTATTTTTTAAATGTGCTGTTCTTTATCAAAGTGTGCAGGAGTAAACAAAAACAAACATCACAGAACTTCCCGGGGGGGGGGGGGATGTGTTGCTTCCAGTTGTCTATTGTTTTTGAGCACCCGCAGTAAGTAGCGTATTCTAAAAGATTGCTTGGCCATTGTGTTGGATACATGAAACATTCTTGCATCACAAACGTTTAGCAATATTCTAGTTTGCAGATGCCAGACGCCTAAGTTCAGGCGCTTTTCATCAGATAGTTTAATGCGTACCGTGTGTACACTTGATAGTAGTTCCTAGAATGTAGCGAGACTTCCACAGCCTTCCATACTCTAAAGCCCTTCTCTCTCAGTATGCACAAATGGTTGAGCTCCTCCTCGCTTACCCCTCTGATCACATGACCTACCCGTTAACCAATCAGCGTTCATCACCTCACTCCTCCTCTCCCACCCGTCAACCAATCAGTGTAGAGCAGGGGTCTCAAACTCATTTGAGTGTGGGGGCCAGATAGTCCACCCCGGAGAGGTCGAGGGCCAATATAAGAGGGAATGGGGGGGTTTAAAGATTTAAAAAAGAAGAGACCTCGTGCTCTACTCACAGCTTTGCCAGTTGATGTCTTTGGATTTTATTTGTTTATATGACTAGTTTCGGCCCTGACCTGATGTGATAACAAGAATTGAAATTTAAATTGACACCGCCTGCCAACGTGCTTGTATTTTTAATACAACGAAAGGGCAAGTACGTTGTTGTTCCCGTTGCTCAATTCACTCAGGAATTAACCAAGCTCAACATGTGTCTAAAAAAGAATCAGTTAAGTTGACAGTTCTTGCTTTTCTGGAGATTTTTATTACAACACTCTGAAAAAATACTTGCATTTTAGTGGAAATATTGTTTTTAAGGCGAGAATTCCTTGCTTACAGCTTTATCTGTGGCAGTTGCTCCTGCCCAAGCATCAAGGAGAATGCAGGAATTGGTGTTCCACGCGCCGCACGTGCTGGCCTCAACAGTACTAAGTTTTCTAAAGCAAAATCCTAAAACAAATTGTATTTTGCACGCGCGTTCGTCAACGCTTTATTTTGGTTATTTACTTCGAACCTTTTATACAGGAAAGGTGTGCGAATGTGGGCGCGTGGAACACCAGTCCCTGCATTCTCCTTGATGCTTGGGTAATATAGCAAATGGTCTATTGTTCTACAGGTGTTTAACATGATAAAAAGCTGGGAAGCATAAAATAAAGCGAAACAAAAGGCAAATGAGCACAGATAGGTATAAACTATGTGAATATGCCATTTTTAGCGATCGATACATGAGAACCGGGAGTCGCGGCCGGTTGCCTGCGGGCACCGTCCTAACGAGTCGCGGGCCGCATGCGGCCCGCTGGCTGGGTGTTTGAGACCCCTGGTGTAGAGCCTTGCGTCCGCACTTTTATCTGGGCTTCATGAAGTGCTGGACACCTAGCCAAAAGATGTTTCACATTAATAATCTCGACTCGCGGCAATGTGTCGAGACGTGATGGAAAGACACTCGCTTAATAATCTAAATGGTCTGGGTTTGATTCCCGCCTGGCACAAGCTCTTTCTTACTGCGAATGCATCTCCCCCCCCCCCCGCTCAAATGGTCACGCTCTTATCCAGGTTCTACTTTCATCTAAGCTTCACAAAATGGCAAGCACCTAGCCAAAGAACGTTCACGTTAAAGTCTCACTGCCGAGGACTAACAGTAGTACCTCCTCAAATTTAGTTATACGGGATCGGCATGTCCTTCCTGATCCCATGGGTGAAAACAAAAAGCACTTGTTCCTCAAGAAATAACAAATCTGCCGAAGGTATCATGTGCGCATCTTCACGACCATCTACTCGAGCCACCTGGTCCACACACCTGAGAATGCTCTGAAACCTAGAGGTCCTTAAACATGTTTACCTACTTGATGAAAGGCAGGGCATCGGCGATGGGCAACTACCTCCCCCCAGGTGCCAAAGGTACACACCGAGTTTCCCCTTGGAGGTCGCCGAGCTGGGTCTTGGTTTTAGCAGATAATCTTCGGAAAGATTTTATTATGCTTTCTTCAGTGTGACGTGAGTCCCTGTAATGGCAAATTTTCTAATGCTAATGTGGATCGCTTGCTTTGATAGTCAAGAATTTTTTCCCTGAGCAACGTTTCAGCTTGCATTTAAATCTGCCGTAATGGCTTGGCACCTATCGTTTTATGGAGATGGTCGGTCAAGGTGCCTCAGCGCCGCTGATGCTGCATCCTCGCGTTTGTTGTGTCGCACCATCCGTCGGCAGCACATAGAAGTAGGCGAGCACCGTGTGCTTAGCTGAAATCATGGAAGCTCGGCGTCATCAATGGCGTCCCTCATCTCGAGGGGGATGCCATTGACGGCAGAAGTCTTGGACACCCTGCCTTAGACCAACCTGCTGTTTTGAAACAAGTTTGAGTTTGTCCAGACCAAGTGCGTGTGCCGCGTACGGGTAGGAACCAGATTGGCATGAAGTGAAGCCTTTGTACATGCTCTGCCCCAACAGCAGCGTCACTGCAGCGGTGTTACGTGTTATGCGTTGGTGTATATGTTGACTTGGCATTTATGCAGAAGTGTGATGTTTGTGGTTTTGCAAGATGTACAGAAGTGAGCCAATTAAATTGTCAATTCAGGGGCTTCCTCTACCTGAGTATGTGTGCGAGGTAGCTTTTGCCCACTGGTACTATCTGCCTGAAGGCTATTGAACTGAGAGCTTGAGCGGTGGTGTCAGCACAGGGAGGATGGGTGAGAGGGGTAATCACCCTCTCCCCTGACTGCCCCCCCCCCCCCCCCCCCCTCACTCCAGGCATGTCAATCTTTCCTAGCTAGTACACAAAAAGAGTCTATCTTATCATTTCCCTTCTCCCATTTCCCAAACATTTCGGATGGTACTGCTGTAATGGCATTGAAAACATTGACTTGCACAGTGTTCCAAGCTCAATGCACATTGTTTTGCCTCATGTAACAGGTTTGTCTACCCTGAGTTTCTACCAGACCCAGACATGAGCACAAGACACTACGCCAGGGAACGGCTGGAACGTACAGATATGCTCAAGCGGCGTGCCGTCATTGAAATTCCTGAATTTTACGTCGGTAAGGAACTCTCTTAGCTTGCCTTATATATGTAGCAAAGGGTTTGGCACACCTTGCGGTACAGTTTCGGGCCTTATACATTTGTTTTTGTCACAGTTATGCATAATAAAGTGGCGTTTATTCTACTAAAGTAAAATCAAAATTTATTGGCATCTATTATGTACGAGCGTCACTCAGGAATATTAACCCTTTGCCAACCGCAAAAATTTTGGAAAAAATGATTTGAAAATACCAATTTTTTTTATGCCCCCCATAAATTTAGTATGCAATACAAAGGCCAAAACAATGCCGAAAAATTTATTGTATGAGAGATCTTTGAACACACTGCAAAAGAAAAAGGGACTAAAGTTCGGCTTCACTGCATTGCCGCAGGCAGTTCACATGACCTTGCACTTGGATGTTTAGGCTGGGCGTAGCAGTACTGCAGACAGTTTACATCACCTTGCACGCAAAGTGAACAGAAAACGTGGAGGGGCAGGAGGCGGATTTTTCACGTGGATTCTAGTCCAATGCCGACATGCCGACGCAATGTCCTCATCGAAATTGAAGTCGTCTGAGCTAAAATACAATAACTCGGATGCATCGCTCTTGCTTTCCGATGAAAGATTCATTTTCTCTCTTTCGAATCTGAAGAGATGTCACAATATCTTCGTTTTTGCCCCAATTTTGATGCAAGATCGTCACTATGAGTGCAGTGACTAGAAGATCTTGCCACTATTTTTAAATCCCTTGTTGCCTGCGTTGGCACAATTTTCCACCAAATTCAGAAATTCACCCATGTTTTTATTTTTCGTGAAGTGCCATCTATCCACGGCAAAGCTAACTAGAAACACGTAGACTAGCCCAGTTTGTCCATGGTAGCGTATTGGAGCCCAAATCAATGTGGACAAGCCCAGCTCGTCTTCCGGGGGAGCGGTACAAACAGTGTGGAAGAACCCAGGTCGTCCATAGTAGGGAAAGGGTTAAATAAGTGGAGGGATCACGCGAGAAAGCAAACCACAGTGCACAAAAACAGGCAAAAGCGTAGCCATATAAAAGTTACTCTGGTGGTTCTCGTCTGACAAAACTCTCATGTTGGGGCACTACTCACATGTTTGCTAAGAATGTGATGTTGTACCTAGTAAATAACCGTATAAAAAAGGGGTGGGGGTGGGTGCGCCATGGCAGGAGTTTGCCCAGGGCACTGGATTGTGTAGGGCCGGTCCTGTCTGAAAGGTTGATACCAGTGCCTACACTGGTGTCAACTTTTAGAAGTTACATTCAGTGTACCAGGAATGAAATAATAACCGATGCCAAGCAGCTGGTCGTGCTTTTACTGTTTATTTTTAACATGAACTCAATATATACTTATGATTTTTTTTTCCTTCAGCTACAACTGGAGACACTGTTACCATTGACAGGGTCCATAAATGGCATGTGCTCGAAAACTGGCCTTCTTTGTGCAATGCCTACCAAGGGTGGATGGTGTTAACGGCTGCACCCTTTATAACAAGTGGTAGATTGCACCACTTAGCCTAGAAACCAAAAATATGATTTTTTCTCCCCACAAATTTTCTTCCCCTCTATCTTTTTGTAACTACCACCAGGCAATGTGGGATAGTGCCGGGATGATCAGGCAACAAAACAAAAAAACGTCACCGGGGCCCCCCCTCCTCCCCCTCGCCGGGTGGAGAAGGGGGGGCTCCTCCCCCCGGCGAGGGATTCGCCAATTTTCCGGCCAAACCTTCTCGGCGCCACCCCAACGCCGTGCCCACTAGGAGACAGTTGAAACTTTGGGCCGCAGTTACGCGCCGCCTCGGTGGCTCCGAGGCGAGAGCGCCGGCCTACGGATCCCCAGGTGGCGGGTTCGAATCCCGACCGAGGTGCCCGCAATATGACGGAGGCTTATTGCGGAGAAGGCGCCGTGTAACCGAGCTTTCGGTTGCACGTCAAAAGATCCCCAGGTGGTCGAAATTAATCCTCAGTCCTCCGCTGGGGCGTGCCAGATGCCCGTTGTAGGTTTGGCACGTAAAACCCCCAAATTTGACTTTGGGCCGCAGTTACGTGGGATTTTCCTCTGCCCCGGGTGTCCCCAACTGTGCCAGTTATTCATACGTCCGTCAACTCTCCCTAGATAATTTCCACCGGCCTTCCGATCTCTTCTTTTGTTATTGCAATGCCCTTTTAATTTATTCCTCCATTCTCATCTGCAAGCCCCAGCGCTCCAGCCATATCCGTCGCCTCGTGGGAGGGGGGGCCAGAAGTAAGCCCCATGCATTTCAATACCACATGTTCTGTTGGCTCGTCTTCCCTTTGGCATAAAATAAACAGGGTGTCTAGCGGCTGGTAAAACCGGGAATTGTCAGGGAAATTTTAGTTACCGGGAAAAATCATGGGATCGTCAGAGATATGGTTAAAGGGGCCCTCCAAAGCGTTCTGCGATGGTCTATTAATGGCGGTAACTCAATCTACAGGCCCCAAGGATCCTAAAAATCATACAATTACGGCCATGCGCGGCGGATTTCCCTATCAAAATTGCTTTCAAAGTCCCCGGCACACCCCCCTTTCTGAGATGACCCCGGAAAACGGAAGGGGCATCTCTTTACGCGTCAGCCAGTAGCAAATGAAGGATTCCGGCGTCACTGCGCGTCACCAACGCGGCCGACTGCCGACGCGCGGAGGAATCTCTCGAATACGCGCGGACCATCGTCAAGGAGCCCGGACTTTGTGCTCGGCAGTCGTCGTTCGTCGCACCGCACCGTCGCGCTGCTACTGCAATACGCAGTCGCATTCCACAGACGACAAGGAAAATTTTGACTGATTGACGCGGGAGGATCGCAAAGCTGGCTTCGGAGTCGGGATCCACGGGAAAAAGGAACACGTGTCCCGTAAACGCACGCCTGCACACGCCCCGGGAAGCAGACAAGCCGACGCGCCGACGCATCACCCCCTAGCAACAAGCTTGCGGGGAAAAAAACATAGTTTGCTGGTTTTGGAACGATAATTGCGGACTATGTTCCCGCACCACAATCAGTTTACGTTTTTCTCAAACTCTAATTTACAACAAGCTTAAAAGGTGTTGCAATAATAACGTTCGCATTCACCGCGAGATGCAGCATTTCCATTGGTCAAGTTTTAGCGATGGGCAGGGAATGGGGGATTGTCTTCCAAGAGAATATAGTCCCGATATATTTCTGCTGCCATGTGCTTAATAAACGATTTTGTAATCTAAAACTTTATATACATATTAACCTGCACCTGCTACGCAATATAACAACATAAACAGACTATCTCAGAAAGCTCCGGAGGGCCCCTTTAAAAAGCGAGCCCAGTCAGGAAAAATGAGACAGAAAAGCCATTGAGTGCCCTGAGCAAAGACTTGAGGACTTAAGGGCAGAAGAATAGGCAATAAATTCTGCTTAGAGTGGAGTGCGGGCTCTGCTGACCTGATGTAGAATGTGATACCCTATGCAAAGGGAACAGCTGTTAAATCCAGTCCAAGCCATGCGTTGGATTGGATTGGATTGAGGGCACGACACTAGGCTAGATCCAGTTGGAGCCACTAGATTTAGTAACAAATGGGGAAAGCCGCAGACCCCAATCCAAGCCTTAAGCTGAAAGTATCCAAAACTGTGCATCTGGCGGCCATGCTGCCATTCGATTATTGACGTGTGTGGTTGAGTGTCGTGTTTTCATCGTGTTTCCGGAAGTGGCCTCTTCACTGATGATGTCAGCGACAAGACAGTGCTCGTTTAATCCGGACTGGACAAACTTGAATATTTCGAAATATGGAAGTTGGATTAAGCCCGTGCAAAATTATCTTCATAATGCTCAATGTGCCACAAAAACATTTTCTTTGGGCAACGTGGGAAACACGGCAGTTTCCGGTCACGCATCAAGCAAAAAGCACCTTGCTGCTTTGAATCTGGACTTCTGTCATTTTTTACGTCAGTAACAAACATTTCAGCTGGATGTAGCAGAGACCGCAGAGGTGCAACTGAGGAGCCTGCAGCCACTACAACAAGTGTGGAGACGTTTATTAGTGGCTTTCTACTGAAGAGTGCTGTGACAAAGGCCGAGATAACGAGGCCCAACAACGTCTGAACATGCCGAACCAACGTGCACCCGTGCACCGCCGAACACACAAACAAAGGCTTTGAGCTTTGGATTGGTTTTCGATCCGTGGCCACCGGATAGACGGATAGTAAAAACCACGACGCTGCTGTGGATGCTTCCTATCGTCCTCTTGTGGCGGTGCAAGATACTGCCAACAACGGAGTAACAAAAACAAACAAAAAATAATAAAAAAAAATTAAAAAAAATTTTTTTTCGTATGGTTGGAAGCAAGATTTGTAAAATCGTAAATTTAGTCCCAATTCGTACATTTTACGAAAAATTCGAAAGAGTTGGCAGGTATGCATTCTAGCTTCGACATTTGGCAGGTGTCAGTGTTGCCAGTGTATGAAAAGAAAAGTACCTTCAGCAATCTATCTCTGGTCAAAGCAATGCGCTGGCCAGAATTTCTAGGCCCGACCACCCAACCAACCCCAACAGAGACACAACCTTAGCCCAGTTCTAGCCTGAGAAGTTTTCCATGCATGAGTCCGAGCCCACCCCAATTGCTTTTCTTTCAAACTCTAACTTCATCATACACCGCACGACCCAGAAGGACGACGATTAGTACGAGGCAGTTGGTCACGTCCGAATGTCGCAGACTGATTCGGACAAGTAATTTCAAAGTAGTGCAAAAAACGTGGTCTAGACGTATGATGCAAGATTGCACCAAAGAAGAAACAAAAAACCTCAGAGTGACTACCGACAGTCTTGCAGGGTCACAATGGGCTGTGTTTACCAATATGAGGAGAGGGCTAAGGAGCTAAACTGCAGACCCAGGAACAGAAGAATGGCAATTCATAATTACTATCATCACAAATGTTGCTCGTGCGTCTGCAAAAGGCTATGCTGGCTCACTCTTGGGAATCCAGTGGCTGAGTGTTTCAGGGCACTGCAGCATGCAGTAGGTGGGGCGAAATCTCACCCTGCAGAACGCAGTGACCCTGGGTTTGATTCTTGGCCCTGCCTGTTTCGATCTGGATGAACACTGTACGAGTGTGTGTTTCTGTGTCACTGCTGCATGGCGAATGTTCAAGACCCAAAACTAGCAATCGTTCTGCACTGTCTAAACGTCGTATTCACGGCATGAACCAATGTCGCAACACTCTGGCAAACCAACCCTGTGCTTTCTAAACACTCGTGTCTAATTTTTCTTTTTATTGACGTGCTTGTTTTTTGTCAAAAATTGTTTCATTGTCTCGCTTAAACTCAAATTGCCCAGTCCGCAGGAGTTTTTATGCGGTTTCTTTAGTAAGGGCAGTGTCAAAGACAATCTTGTTGTTCTCTTTTAACATTACCACGGCTAGTGCCTGCATTGTGATTAACTCTGCAGTACTGATATCAACAAAATGCCAAGAATAAACTTGCAATAAATGCCAAATAATCTGTAGAATATTTGCTGTTTATTCTTTTCCCCCAATTTATTCTGAATAGCATACATTTAATAGCCTCTGGTGGACGCACAAAAACAAAAGCCCCACTTGCGACCCAGTTTCCGACGCTTGTCTCTACATTGTTCGAATAAGGTTGTTGACGTCGTCAGTTTGAATGCTGGTCCTTATCCAGTTGCCATCTTGGTTGTTCTTTCTGTTTTCCAGGTAGTATACTGGCGGTGACAGTCTCGGACAACAATGCTCCAGGCAAACAGAACCGCTTTGTAGGCATCTGCATAGATCGTCGTGGGGTTGGCCTGCGTCACAATTTCACAGTGCGGAACGTTGTTGATCACCAGGGTAAGCGAGCGCAGTTCTTTACCCTTAGCTGACCGATCTTACCACTCAGTCTCATTATGCCGCTGCTGCCGGTAAATGTCTATTCACACCCAATGAGGTAGAGGGACTTGGAGCACAAAAACTGGCATCCTCCTTACTTTCGGAGCGAGATTTTGCTGAAACTTCACCTAGGCCTGTCAGTCACCCAAAGGAGAAACGCAAACACTGCCAATGGCCGCTTGACATCATTGCAACATCTGATCTTCGAGGTGAAGCGAGCTTTTGGACGAGCCTCCTTTTTGGCTGATCCCGTATTCGAGCCAAGGCCAAAATAGGAAAGAAAGGCGGTGAGTGGTGAGCGGAGAAGTGGTGCGTACAGGCAGTATGGGTGCAGATTCCTCAACAGGATGAGTGCATGCACTGCATATAAACCTGATGACTGGGGATAACTTATCTTTAAGCAGTCTAAAAAGTTCCAAAGTACTTTGAAACCATCCGTCTGTTTTTTGACGTTTGTAGTCTTTCCTCGGTTCGGCAGGCCATGTAAGCATCATTTGCTGCAAAACGCTTGATATTCCCAGTCCAGATGACAAGGTTTGGCAAAATTCTCGTGACGTCGCACGTCAAACACATGTGGATTAGCCGATTGCGCAAAATCTCGCGCAATCGCGTATGCAAAGCACGTGCCATAACCCCGCTACGGGTCTGTGCGAGTAGAACACGATACAGCACGTGCTGTGTCTTGCACTGGTGCCCGGCTCCTGGGGGCTAAATGATGGCGGCCTCATGCATGCATGGAATTCTTAGTGAGATCGGTCTATTAGGCTGGGCCTAGAGTCCAAGCCGCGTATTGCCACCTTACCCGATACTAACATGCACCTCTTTGGAGAAAAATATACCGAAAAACTGCCTGTGCATTAGATTGCAATACAAAACAGAAACCTGGGGCTTGTTAGAATCATTGTTTTTGGGAATAAAAACTTGTTGTGCGTTAAAATCGGGCAAATATGGTATGTGATGCTAAAAAATTGTTGTTATATCGCCAACAAATTTCTGGCTGCCGCACGAGAGTAAAGCCACGTTGTCAATAGTATATACACCTTTCTTCAAAGAAATATCTTTTTTTATTTCCGGCATGAGGTTTTTTTTTAGTGCCTACGAACCATTCCAATGATTGTCTTTTGCACGCTGCCACATTTGTCTACTGGACACTGTACGTGTCTCAGCCCAGTGACTCAAGCATTTTTCACCTGGGTGATAAGCTCTGAAAAGGTGTTCAATTTTCTTCATTGAAAGCAGCCTCCATGCAGCAACGACTTTGCACCAGCGACTGGGATGCCTTAAAGGCATTGCTTGTTATCACGGACCGTGACTCGGCGCCAACGTGAGGTGGGGTCCCTTTCTCGCAGGAGTGGAGATCATGTACGACCTGTACAACCCGCTGCTGTTGAAGCTGGAGGTGCTGCGGCTGGAGAAGCGGCTGGACGAACACCTGCTGTACCTGAAGGATGCCCTGCCCGAGTACAGCACCATCCCCTTCGACATGGAGCCCGAGTCCCACCCTGAGGGGGCCCCCGTGCCCGTCAACCCCATCAAGGTGGGGGCCCTCCGTTTGCTGTCACACTCGACAGAGGGCTGGTTTCCTCCGGCCCCCGTTGCGTGCTTACCGTAAAATAATGCAGCAGGACCCACTTTGTTGAAGCGCCCATTATTAACATTTTCCAAACTTGGGGACTCTGCAATTTATACGTTAAAGGGGCACTGACACATCAAAATCATATTTTTTTTTATTATCCGAAACGATTGAAAACAATGCCGGGACATTACCCTCAAAATTTGAAATTTGGGAATTTAGTATTCGTGAAGTAAAAGAACAATTTCCAAATGCCGAATTCGAAATTCCCGCGCGATCGGCGCCGGTGCCTTGACGTCAAAAATTGCGGATTCCTGAGAGTCCACTTTCTTTCACCACTCCCTGCTGTTGCCATGGCGACCCAAAGAGAGAAGGAAAGGAGCGAGCGGCGGCGTTCCGGCGGACCGGTTTTGAGCGGTGTCGCCTGTTTTCCGTTGGAGGATACAAATCCAGGAGACGGCACCACAACGAACTCCCGATTTTTGGTATTTCAAAAAGAAGGGCCGTAGTGCGTTCACAATTGCATTAAAAAACATGTTTTAGGATTGCCGTAATTAAATGTTATAGAGATGTCGCCTACAAAGCTTCTAAATTTCATGATTTTTGACGTCACCGATCAAAAGAAGCGAGGAGGCGAGAGGCGGGAAAATCAAATGCCAAAAATAAAAAGGCGCGCTCGCGCGCAAAAAAATTTTTTTTCGCGATGCGTTTTTTTTTGCGTGTCTATGACTGCAACTTGCATCGTTTTAGACAATAAAAATAAATACGACCTTTGGGGTGTCAGTGCCCCTTTAAGCGCCTGATTTGACCAGACAGGCGCCCATGTCTAGATTAATTTGGTTTTCAGGGAAACAAGTGTGGGCGCTCCCCCGGTATCTTACAGTAGGCAAATTAGCCGGGGTGATCTTGACAGGACATGCTTTTGATGCGAGTGAAAAGGTCGGCACATTAAGAAGCTGCCGTAAAATCTGTGTAACACGTGCATTCAGTTGGATATGGTATATTTATGATAGAATCGGAAACAAGTGCTTGCCTAATTCAATTAATGTGTGTGACATCCTTAGGCCAGCTCCGAAGTGTGAGGGTACTACTATAACCACAGCGGGTACTTGGGCGAAAGTGGAGGCAAGCTTATAGACCAACTCATGTTTACAAGCAAACCTCTAGCAAACACCACCGCGCATGCGCGATGGAGTGTGGGCAAGGCTCGCCGTCGCCCATAAACAAAGCATTGAAATGCAATGTTGTCGGCGTCAGTATGAGTCCCCGTGCTCTTTTTTGCGTTGGAATTGTTGATTTTACGTCTTTTTGGCAATGTCTGACCAATTAAGCGGCCTCAGCGAAATTACCGAGGCTCGTTACACCGTAAAATTTTGCGTGAATAATGTTGCATGCGGTGATTCATCCTGCGTGGACGCCGCAGAATGGACGCTAAAGCCTGATTAGCATGATGAGATTCTGCCCGCAAATTTCAGTTGCGACGTCGCTCAGGCTGCCAAAGCGTGAACCGTAGCCGAGATGGTCGATGTCGATACTGAAAATGCAAGCAGAATTGGATCAAGTGAATCAGGATTAACAAGTCGATGATGGTCATTGGTCAATCAACATCTCCTTGTATCTACTGTTTACACCGAGCCTGCTTACCCCAACCAATCTTCTAACTTCAAAGTCTTTTGAGGCCTGCACTTACTTCTTACCGCAATTACCGGGCCAACGTTTGGTCTACGGGCTGGTGTTATCTAAAAGAGCAGACGACAAGTAGAAATGTTCTAAAAAAGCAGACGACAGTTCGAATGATCAGGTGTTTGTTAGGGTGTCTAGCGACCGGGAAAACTGGGAATTTTCGGGGAAATTTTATTTACCGGGAAATATCAGGGAATTATTACAGATACAGTGTAGACCGCATATAACGTATGTCGCGGGAGTCGCGAAAATCCGCACTATAAGCGGTACCGCGTTATAACCAAAACATCAATTTTTCAGGCCAAAATACATGCCATGAGACAACTTACCCTTGTAAAAGAATTTATTTTATGTTCGATGAAAAATAAAGCTTAGTTTGAGGAAAGTCTTTATTTCACCAGACTAGTACAGTTATGTCTCAAGTGTGTCACACATTTTGAAAGAAATTAGCGGCTTTTGCCTGGCGCAGCCTTTTAACGGCGTCGCGGGTTGCAGACGGACGTTGCGAGCGTTCAGGATTGCTAACCCTAATCACTTTTCTCCGGAGATGAAAACGCGTGAAAATTCGCATCCTTCATACGGTACGCGCCAGTAATACCTTGAACTTTAGCACACGCATGAAATGCGCCAAATAAGAAATCCGGGCGATGTTTGAGGTCACAAATGCTTAGAAATCACCACTGTAGTCGAAGTAAACAAACACGACGACACGGGCGTTTCTGCGGTCTTGAGAGCGCCGCCACGGCATCGCTGCACGAGTAGGTGGATCTTCCCTTCTAGTACGTGCTGGGTTATCATAGCGACACACAACGAAAATTCACAGTCAAGGATAGCGCTTTTACGCAGAACAATGAGATGAACTCCGTCTACGACGACGATCACAACCGACACCATGTTTACGGAGAAGCAGCCGGCCCGCGACCGGTACGCAACACGCGCGAACACTTCTCCTCGATCTGCGATTGGTCTGTCGGTGCGGTTGTTTGTTTCTTTGTTTCCAACGCAGCGGAGGGACGCATGCACGTGAACGACACGTTAAGTACAAAACGAGCGTGTTGGTAACTGTAATTAGACATGAGGAAGAAACACAGAAGAAACACGTGCGTGCGTCCCTCTGTCGCTACGGTGGCTACGGCGACTGAAACCTCTCTCTTCGCTTCTCCCCACTTCTTCGAGCAACATCCTCGCCCCGCGCCGTCAGCGCCGTTATCTAGTGTCGCACAAGGAAGCGTGCCCGCTGCTCCGGTCGTCGGCGCGGTCGGCGGGCTGTGCCAAAAACCGCACTATAGCCGGTATTTCCCTTCGCGCGCCTGCATTTTAAGCGGTATGTAAATACATGGAGTTCTATGGGAGGCGAACCGGTGGTTTAAAAAAACCGCGTTATACCCGGTCCTGCACTATAAGCGGTTACGTTGTAAGTGGTCTATACTGTATTGTCGAAAAGTGAGCCCAGTCAGGGAAAATGAGCCGGAAACACCATCAATTTCTGTGAGCAAAGACTTGAGGATTTAGGGGCAGAAAAATAGGCAATAATTCTGCTTAGAGCAGAGCACAGGCTCAGCTTACCCAATGTAGAGTGTGCTACACGATGCAAAGCAAACAGCTGACAAATCCAGCCTAAGCCTTGGATTGGATTGGATTGGGGAGGCGACACTAGGCTAGATCCAGTATGACGTGACAGAGTTGAGTTTGTGTATAGATGGTTACATGGCAAGACTGCATTACAGTCCACTTGCGTTAATTCAACCTCGGTTAATTCAACTTCTTGTTTAATTCAAACCTGTTCAAAGATCTCGGGAAAAGCCCACATACCGTATTTGCACGAATATAACGCGACCACGAATATAACGCGAGGGCAGTTTTTGATGCCCCCAAAAAGAAAAAAAAATATTATTACTATTATAACGCGAACCGATGCCGCGTCAATTTCTCGCACTTGGGGGCATAGCAGAAGTGAAAAGTCAATGGAAATGGAAGAAATATCTGTTTATGTTTTGACTGCACTCATCCTCACTGCTCAGGTCCTTCCGTTTACAATCCACTTGGCGACTACGCAGGTATGCAGCAGCACGGCACCTGCTTGTCTGGTAGTTCTTTTTTCTTCCGTGGGAGCTCCTCGGCAGCCCACAATCCAAACAAGGCGCGGAAGCAGAAGCACCAACACACAAACACCAGACCACTCTGGAGCAGAAACTAAACAATGCGCTGGCAGAAAAAAAGACTGCTGAACCCGATACACGATCACACTTCTTGTTCTGGTCCCTCTTCGTAAACAAATGCCTCGTGTTGCACGATTGCGTAAACGCGGTCGGCGGTCTTGGCTTGGCTTGTGTTGATTTGACTTGACCCGGCTTGGCTTGGCTCGAATTGGCCGGTGCCCGCATTCCCGCATGGCGCGCGCGCGTGCAGCGTGCGCGCGATGTAAAAACACAAAAGCGATAAAAATGCTTTTTTATGTTTTCTATTCGCCCCTTCACGTGGCCCAATGGCTAGAAAATGGCCCTCCACACCCCCACTTCTTTTCCCATTGGATCTTTTGCATTGAGCCGGAGGGATGACTTTCTCCTCTGGCTTTCTCCAGACTCGCGCGCCTCGTGGCTGAACTCGATTCCGAATATAACGCGAGGTGCGTTTTGGAGCACGTAATTTCGGAAAAAAACTCGCGTTATATTCGTGCAAATACGGTATTTCGAAAGAAAACAAAACCCGTTTTTTTTAATCTTGAATTATGAAAAATCGATTAATTCAACCTAGAGAGAACCGGCAGTGGGTAAATTACTAGCACGATTGGCCGTGTGTGACGCACAAGAACGGGCCTTCTTTTCAAAACTATGCATCGGGCAAGTTACAAGCGCAATCAACCGCGCACGTCAAAAAAAAAAAAAAAAGTATCTTTAAATTTTGATGCGTGCCGATTTGCAAAGAGAAAAAGAGAACACGTTGAGACACGGGGCACAGCCGGGTCTTAACACAAAACAACCATTGCAACACCGCTGTGGAACAGCGAGCGCTGATTGGCTGTTTGTGAAAGAGGGCAGCTGGTGATGTCGACGCACGCAACGGTAACGTTTGTCTCGTAGCCACCAGCGCAGTGCGGTTTGTTCGCTGGCCACTGGTCAGCGCTGCCAACACTGCACCGAACCCGCGAAGAACATGGATGGCCGCTGCCACCGCCATGCGGCGGCTCATTATAAAATATGTTAGCCCACCCGATCTACAACGCTAAGTGTCGAGAATTTCATGCACATCTTTTCATTCGACTTTAGATAATTCAGCCTAATTTTGCATGTCCCATCAATGTCGAATTAAAGGAAGTCAACCTACTAGAAGTGTCGCCTCAGCATGCTCTCTTTGCTTTCTGTATTTTTTGTCTGCGTATGCTCACGAGGTGCCGAAGTGTTGTCGAAGTTTGAAATTCTGCACCGGGAGCGGAGCTTCTACTGCATTCCTAACCTGTCAACGACTATATAGATAGACAAAAGGCGACGACTGCAAATCTTTTTTGGTTCCTGCACGAGAAACCATCGATGGCTAGAGTCGGCAAAGATGCAGCACCCGGGCACAAAAACTGGGGTTGTCGCAGTACACGTTTGAAGATAATGTAGCGACTCATTTGTGGCACATATCCCATAGATACTTTATGCTTAACCTGATGACATTGCTATAAGTGTGCTGTTCCATAGAACAGTGCAAACTCAAGGTGTCGGAAGGGGGACCCCGTCTGTAATTCGTTCTGTTCACCAACTCCGAGCGCCGACCCGGTCTGTCCTATGCAGCCGTCCCATACGAGCACGCGCGCATTAAAGCCCCGTCCCAAAGGCCCGCAGGTTTCGCCCCTCAACGCTTCCGTCGTGCGCACATTTCCACGACTCGATGCCGGTTCGTCTTTCAGATACGGCACCAGTGTTTCTACTAAAGGAACGATTTGGTCGGTTTAGCACGGTTACCAACTTGTAACCGCACGTCCCTCCGAAACGGCCACACGCATGCTTGCTCGTGACCCGTCTAAAACTGGAGAATTTCCGCGTGCCGCCAGCTTGAGGAAATGAGCGACGAGATCTGTCGTGCGCAGGTGCAGCTGAAGCCCCGGCCGTGGGTGGCGCGCTGGGAGCGCTACGACCTGAAGGGGGTTCAGGACCTGGGCCTGCCCGAGCGCTTCTACCAAAAGGCGGCGGAGCGGGCCACGCCCTGGGAGAAGTTCGACCTCATGAAGCAGTACCGGAAGGTGATCCCCGAGGAGGAGCAGCTGCCCATCTGGCAGGAGCTGGACAGGCACCGGGCTACCGTCGAGGAGGCCCAGAAAAGGGAGCGGAGGCGCCGTCTGCTCAACAAGGGGCCCCAGTGAGCCGCGCAGGCTGCCCGACTCGCACTCTGCATTGCTTCGGACCAGCGTGTGGCAAATGCCACGAGTGGGGTTCCGTGTTTTGGGGGCCTTATTTTCTTTCGGCTTCGAAGATGTGTTTTCTGGGGGGGGGGGGGTGGGGGGGGGGTAGATTCCAAGGTTTGCAGCATTCTTTTTTCGGCGTGGAACAAGAAATCTGCATTCGTTAGGGCTTCTGTCTTAGGGGCTGTCGTATTTCCCTCAAAATTCTTTTAACCGATTGAAACACGCGTCACACAATTAAATTGTCCTGCCAAAAAAAAAAAAAAAAAAAACCTTTCAGCAAGATATTTACATCATGAGACTCGCATCTCGAGTTGAAGGTGATTCTGAAACGTGCTTATATTTGGAGACATTGACCCCGGAATAGAAGAATGATTTAGAGCCGCTCAGACGAGTCTTGCATGCAAATATTGCGCTAGAAAAAGAAAACAAAAAGTTTTGGCGGAAGTTAGTTTTGCGACGTGTGTCCTGTCCGGATATTTAAAAAAAAAAAAAAAAAAAAGTGTTTTGGGAGTTTAAGGAGGTTGGAGCTTCCAAGCTTTAGGGAACATCTGTGCGACCCGAATGCCGGGAAACTGTCCCAGTATCGACGAGAGAGGGAAAAGGAACCAGCCTAATGGGGTTCCCAAAGAGAGCAGCAGCCTGGCAGACATTCGGGCAGGCTGTGTTTCGAGTCAAGAAAAAATAAAGCTGCGGGTAAAGATACTTTTCCCATGAAGTGTGGGCATTTCTTGTTCAAAAACAGCTCTTATTCTGGGTTTTTCGATTTTCCCTAATTTTGAGAAAACTGGTTTGAGGGTTATTTTTCAGAGTTTATCAGTATATGCCAGAAACACGGAACCCTAGCCTTGCATCTTCGTAGCTTGGCACACTAACTGTGCTTGATTAGCTTGAGTAGCCATTATACTTTGTCTCACCCTATGGGCAGCTAAGTGCAATCAAAAGCCAGTTAAGAAGCAATATAGTACCGCTTCAACAGGTGCATCAGTCAATGGGCCACTTGGATGTGCACGCCAGAGCAACATACCATAGATTTTCTAAATTCTAAATGACTCTCGACTGGACCAGACAGCTTGTAAGCGTCGGCAGTAGTCCGTCGTAGGATGATGCTAAGTGTGGTATCGATTGGTCCACCTTAAGTTGAAACAGTGTAGCTGGCAGGAAATCGTAATCATGGTGGACACAGTCATAACTAACACCCCTTGGTACAGTTGAATCTCGTTAATTCAAACTAACATGCAGGTCCCATCCTCTGCGTCTGTATGGGAGGAAACGCCAGGTAATTCAAACTCTGCTTTATTCAAACAAATGTTGGATCACCCTCAAATTAACGAGATTCGACTGAATAACGTGAACTTCATGAAATGATGGAAGGAGATGCATGTGTCCCGCAATGTCTCAGGAAGAAATCTCCCGATGGTCGTTTGTTTTGCTGGCATGTTCTTATTGAAGTATGTTGCAAGCAGAACACATCTGGACATCTGTAAAAAGTGCATGTAGTGTGCCAAGAAACTAATTAAAATCAAGCATAGATTAAAAAAGAAAAAAGCTTTGAATTGAGTTTAATAAAAGTTGACTCAGTTGTACGTTGTTTGGAAATTTAGTATGAATGCATTCTACTATTTTTCAGACTGATCACTTTTTCCCCCGTCCGCAACAGTCCCAAAATGTAATCGGCAGCCAAGAACAATGCAGAGCGCAAGTTCGTTCACTTCTAAGTTCTTTTGCAAGGGTTGTGGTGATGTCAGAACGCCGAGCCCCGATTGGTTCCGACTGAACGCTCGAGGCAGCTTGCTTCGAGGTCTACTCCCTATCCTTCAGTCGCAGCTCGGCATCCTTCCGACGTCGCTGCAACTCCCGTGCAAGCAGCAGACGACTTGCTCTCCGCATACATATACCACCGAGCAGCTCTGAAGCAAACATTCGATTTATTCGACGAGACACAGTAAACATACACCGAGTTCCTGGGACCAACGACAGTTGCCTATCTGCAGACATGTACAGACACGGGAATTAAGTACCCACCTTGTACAGTCGCCGACAAGGAGAGAACTGCGGGGTCTCTCTTTCGAATGCCCGGCCTCCAGCATGCACCTGTTGCCCTCCACCATGCTCTGGCTGCGGGTGCATGCTCGAGGCTCGGGAGACGAAACGTTTTTGAAGGTAGCAAGCTCGCACTTCAGACGGTACAACCAAGACCCTTCCCTGCCGTCCTCATCCTGTCGGCGACCATAGAACCAACGTTCCATTTATAAGCAGGATAAGTACCAGGCACAAACAGTTTACGACACCGACACTACAGACACGGTCACCCAACTTGTATCACAATTTTCCACATGGTAGTAGTACATTGATACCACCTGAAACCCTATTGCCTACTCAAACAAATAAAAAAAAAAAGGCAGGGGCCAGCATGAATTTTCAGTGGCACTAAAACGAAAAGGATTACCTTTGCCAAAGTTGCATAATTATAGTAATGTTTTACTGTGGGAACAAGTTATTTTTGGACACACTCCCCAATGCGAAATTTGTGAGCAAACTACCTAATCTTGCTTGCCACAGTTCCACAATGGTAGTTACTTTGTTATTCAAGCACCCCACTTCTCGGTCTTGAGCCAAAGGACCATTCATATACAAAAAGCCCGAAGGATTAGATGAAGCATTGCCCTGCGAGCAGGGAAGATGCTTCGTCGTTGGATCACCGACCACGTAACGCCGTACGAAAGCACCACGAGATTATGGCACTTCCCGTCCTCATGATTAATTACACAATGAAAAGGGTGGAACTCTTTGTACCATAAAATAGGAAAGATGCCTTTCCGAAAGGCTGATGAGATTGGGAAAAATGTACAAGGACAGTTGCAACGTAGCTGCTCGAAAAGGCATACTCGTACGAGGTGGTACTGTTTCGACCTGCCTTGGGACAAAACATTGTGGATTGCACTGCTGAGAGTTATACTGCCTTGCGTGATCATTTGTTACTTTTCCTGACAGTGTTGATCGTCCTTTTTTGTGTGGTAGACATGAACACTGGGCTTCTTAACTCCGACATTACCGAGGTCAGATGTAAGCTCAACAGATAAATCCAGCGTCGATTTACAACACAGTCGGGGATCAAATGATATGGCATACAGACAGAATGCCCTGGCAGACATTTTACAAAACCCAAATGAAAAGCTGAAAATCTGAAGCGACCAAATAGCACAAGGGGGGGGGGGGGGGGGGGGGCCAAGCTGTTCCCTCGTACGCTAGGTAACAAAAAACCCTAAAAAATATGCGACTCGTGAGTAAACACAGACTAACTGTGATGCTACTGGGTCCATGCTTTATAGTAAAAAGGGCCAAGCACATCCTGTTTCGGCATGCAACAGTTACACCATGCACTCAAGAACGAGCGAAGAGAACCGTATTCGGCGAGCGGGATGCGCCGACACAACAATCCTCTGCCTGCACACGGGTCAAGCGCATAATGTATACTTTATGCTGCAAGATTTCAGCTTCTGAAGCCGAAAGCAAACTTTACTTAAATGTAAAACTCAATAAATTTATACAGGGTGGAAAGTCTGTTGCTAAAAATTAAAAGTGACGTCAACCTTTCGTGATCTGTTATGTAAAGTGCCAAGGGTGCAAGCAAGTAGCTCAGGAAAATTCTCGGGGTGGAACAACCGCAGTTGCAATGAAGACGCTCGGCCTGGAGTGCACACGCACCATGTGCCTTCTACAATGTTGCTTGTCTGGGCACACTGCAACGTGTACACACGAGCACCCAGAGCACTTTCCCTGAGCTCGATGCTTGATCTTTTTGGAACACTACACATCAATGAGTGCAATGACTTAAAAAGAAAACAATTGTACAACGAAGTTATGCAGATACTGGCACTATATAAGGTACTGTTTCAGCCGGTGCTTTCTCCTGCACATTGTGACCATGCACTTGATTAGACAGCATTGCAAATCAATGTTCAAGGCCTTCACTTTGGACAAGTCAGTGGGTCCCGGGTAAAGTGTTCGAATACGGGTTGCTGGCTATTGGAAAGTTCAAAGCTGGACCAAGGTGTCTGCTACCTCTTGGAGGATGGTTGCCGAAGGTTTCCGTGCATCGAAATTTTGGATAGGTGTCGAAGTACTGCAACAATTCAAAAGTCTTCCACTTTGCACAATTCAAAAGTTTTCCCACTTCAGCCTGAATGTTGGCCTTCAATGATTAGCGTGCATCGCAGCCATGCACGATTCACGAAAGGTTCATGCCGACAAAGGTGCTATTGAACTTGGAGACTTCCCAGAAATTATGTGGCAACAATATCTAGGCGCGTCATTCTGCCAAAAAGCATGTAGTATGCAGACTATAGTGGCTACTGGATAATGACATTAGTCGCCGGAACAAAGCAAAAAAAAAAAGCAGTTGCAAGTATATCGGTATTTCCAAATAGTACGAAGCAACTGTTCGTGGAAGACCCCGAATGACTGGGAAGAGTGTAATGAATGCCACTCTTGACCAAGCTGCAACAAAAACGTTTGCAAAGCTCTAGGAACTAGGGCACTTTGGGCAACAAACTGCACTGAAGTTCCCAACGCATCAAATGCGCACGTCACAAGGGCACGTTAATTTTGCTTACGCGATGGGAGCACACCCGCACCTTACTGGAACTACAGAACTATCATTAAATGATTCCTCCACTCCACAAACTAGGTTTGGACCAATATCAAAAAAGTGCAAAACAGAGCAAAGAACCATCGGGTTTCACCGGCACCCTTGCAAACGGAACACCCAGCTGCACGCGACCTCATCTCGTTATAAATAAATACTCCAAATCGGCGACTACGTTTTCGCCGCTAACCCAAGCTCGCCACTCTCGTTTCCGTCCCGACTCGCAGAAGGTTGGACCAAATCGAGGCATCGTCAACACTCCGCGTCGAATCCGTGTTGGCGGCCGTGTCGGCGGCGAGCGACCTTTCGCACGCGGTCCAGAAACTACCGGGCATCCGAAGCAACGACCTCACGGACCGACAGCTCGAAGGCTCGCCGGCCGCGATCAGGAGTTGTTGCGCTGGAGCAAGTGCCTGAAGTGCACGCTCTCGAGGGGCGTCAGGGGGCGGGCGTCCTCGTGCACCCGCTGTACGGGCACGGTGCCGGGATGCCTCCGTTTGGGCGCCCCTCCCGCGGGGGTCTTGCGCATTTCAGGGGCGGGGCGGGCTCCCCTGCCCCCGAATATGAGGTCGCCCACGTTGGGCCTCGCTGCAGACTGCTGCTGCTGCGGTGCGGGCGGAGCGAGGGAGGCCTCCGGCGGGGTGCGCTTGCGGTTCGGCTCATCGTCCCGCGGCTCGTCGTCGACGTCGGGCACCACCTGCATGCTTCCCCCCGTGGCGGCCAGGGAAGACCTGAAAGGAAAGGCTCGCAGGTCGGGCAGTGGTCGGAGAAACTGTGGTCAAAGCCAAGTCAAAGCAAAAGCTCCTCGAATTATTATTCCAGTAGAGGGCCATTCAGTGAATATTGCAGTTGACGAAACTCCAACCTCTCTCTCTGGTTGTAACGTCGCAATCGCCCTAAGTCCGAGCGGAGTGCCCTGGCGAGCAAAGCAATTTGCGGCCATTCCATTCAAAATGCTGACGAAGTTGGGCCTCCTCAGACTTGTCTGTGGCATTGAAGCGGGTCTGGAAATGCATGTTGCTGTCACATCGTCACAACCACTTAAGGTCTAATCGGAATTTCCACCTTACAAAAAGTAAGACCACTTTTAAGACATGGTGTATAACAAACTTGTCAAAGTCACGCTGAAAGATGCCACCGGAAAGGAGACCTCGTCCCACTTAAAATCCTGGCGGGTGTCTATGCTAATCCGTCGTCAGTTCGGTCCTCTTATGCAATCCTGTTAAATCGGGTTAAAGACGAGCAATAAAACTAGGCTGAGCACGGGCAGCGAGGAAAAGGTAGACCTCTGTGCTTCGCGATGCTGCCACGAGCCTTGCTTTATGCACCTCTGGTTCGTACAAAACTTCCAAAATCCTGTCAAAAATAACGTGCATGTAAGGTCAGGTTTTCACTTTCTGATATTATCAGATACCGTATTTGCATGAATATAATGCGAGGGCAGGTTCTGATGCCCTCAAGAAGAAAAAGAAAAATTCTTACTATTATAATGCGAGCTGAAGCTGCATAAGGTTACCACACTCGGGGGGGGGGGGGGGGGGGGCATAGCAGAAGTGAAAAAGGAATGGATATCGAAGAAATATCAGATTACCGTAATATCCCGAGTCATCGCCCATCCCCGAGCCATCGCCCACCCCATTTTTTGGGCCAATATCGATTTCCGAAAAAACACCGAGTCATCGCCCACCCCTTCAAATACCCCAGCGCGGACTCTGCGATCCGCGAACACTCATCCTACCCGAATGACGCGGCCGCGGACCTTACAGTTGGAGGACGTCCGTGACAAAGTAAAACGAAGGAGGGAGAGACACTTCTTTTTGTTTACGCATTTCCTCCGTGAGCGACCCCAAAGTGGTCGTGTATTCGTGCGAAAAGAAAACGATGGAGATAACAAAATAAGAGTTTGTTAATGTCACCGCGGAGTGTTAAGTCAAAGTCTGTCTCCGCCGAAGTAAGGACACCGCGAACCCGCTCCTTCTTCCCGCCCGTCGCAACCACGGTTGTGCAATATTTTAGGCAAAGCCATCGCGTAAATAAAGCTTTGCTGGAACGCCCTACACAGACGTTTGCAGAGCGTCCCAACCGTGCATTGATAGCCCGCCGTGCACGGACGCACGTATGTACGCACCAAACAAGAAAGTTGCGCAAGAGCTTGCGATTGACAAGGCGCCCGACTTGGCCCGACGCCAAAATATTTGCAAACGCGACCGCCGGCTTTCCCGCTTTCCCAGGATTGCTCTTGGTCGCTTCTTTGGTCCGCTCGCTCGCTCGCTCGTTGCGCCTGGTCGGTTTTTCTATTTTCTTGTAGACTTTTCTTTCTTTTTTTACTAACTAGGAGAACATAGTGGTGACATTCTTTCACGGAACAAACGTTCGCGCTATATGCAGGTCGGCGGTGTTTCTAGCGCGTATGCAAGCAACGGACTTCGCTATAGTAAAATATTCTTTCGTGAGCATTTCTTTCTATAAAACAATGAAACTAAATCGAGTTTTGAGTTTGATGTATCTCTTGTGCATCAGCGCTAGATACGCAGTGAAAAATAGGCGGTTTTTCCGCTTTTTTTCAAGTGTTTGTGCTCACCCACCGAGACATGGCCCACCCCACTTTTTTAATGAATTTCAGGCGGTAGGGGGGTGGGCGATGACTCGGGATATTACGGTACATCTTGACTGCACTCATCCTCACTGCTCAGGTCCTTCTCACTGTCGCGTTTGCAATCCACTCGGCGACTGTACAGATACGCAGCAGAACTGTGACGCTTGTCTGGTTGTTCCTTCTTCGGCGTGAACTCCTCGGCTGCCCGCAAGCAAAGCAATGCACGAAGCACAAACACTAACACACAAACACTACACCACTCTGGAGCAGAAACTAAAACTTGTGCAGGCAGAAAAAAGAAAGCTGGACCCAATACACAATGGCACGTTTTATCTAAGCTTGGTTTAGAGAAAGTGGGGCCTCTGTTTAGAGAAACGTTTATCGAAATGCTGTTTAAAAAAGAAAGGCTCCCCTACCTCGCGCGTGTATCACTGGGACGCGCGTTAACCTACCTGCCCCCTCGCGTCCACGCCGCGTCGCAGCGAGAGACTGCGGCAGCTCATTACAAAAAATGTTAACTAACCTGGCCCACCCGTACAGGCCGCTTCGCGGCGGCCAAATTCACTAAAAGAGGAGGCTGATCGCCAAGTTCTCTGAGCTGGGTTTATGTAAAAAGGAATTCAACGGGTCTGTTAAACGGCGCTCACGAGCTTCTCTAAACTGCATGCCTCCGGTGTTGCACGACTGCATCAACGCGGTTGGTGGTGTTGGTTTGGCTTGTATTGACTTAACTCAGCCCAGCTTGACTTTGCTTAAATTGACCAGAGCATGCATTCGCGCATGGCGGGCTGCATTTCTGCGGTGTGCGTTTCAACGTGTGTTGTACAGTAAAGCCTTGTTATAACAAAATGGGATATAACAAACTAATGGATATAACAAAGCAACCATAATTCCCCTTGCTTGCTAATAGTGGGAAGAAATGGACAGTGGCTGTAACAAACTAATGGTTATAACCAGGGTGTCGAACCGGTCATTATTTCGGTTCGGTTCGGGTTCGGGTTCAGTAGCATTCTATTTTGTTCCGGTTCGGTTCCGGTTTAGGGTAGCGCACATAATATCACTCCGGTTACCGGTTTTGATAAGCGCGAACCGGTTCGAACCGGTTCCTAACTCGGCCTTTGAATATTGACCGAGCACTTCCTGCAGCCTTTTCTGAGCACAAGATACTTGCGATAGACCCACCAGCCCGATACAATGTTGATACTCGCTCTTCAAGCAGATATGAAAACTCTGCTCAGTGACGTGCGCAAAAGACACCACTAATGTGGCAAGGCCAGGCACGTAGTCAGGATTTTGTTTCGGGGGGGGGGGAAGGGCCCGCCCATGACAAAATGCTGTATTAAAGGAAGGGGGGAGAGGAGGTGGTCCCAGTAAAATGGAAGATTTCGGGGGGGGGGGGGGGGGGGGGGGGGGGGGGCCAAGCTTGGTACTTGTCCCCCCTTCCTCCAGGGTGTCGCTGCACTCAAGCGGAAGGTCACGTGGTGCGCTGTCGGTGCTCGATTGGCTAAATGGCTCATCGACTGCAACTGCGGTCCATCTTAAGGTCAAACATTCGCGGTTGCAATCCGCTCCGACACTTGGACATTATGTAGCCAAGTGGGCAAGCGGTGCTTTGAAATCGCCGCCGCTGCTACCACGCCGCCAGGGTCGATCCAAGAAACAAAGGAAAGTTGAAGTTCTCCCGACGATGATGTGTTTTGTTATCACGTATGCAATAAAAACGAAATGTAAAAATATCTCTCAGTATGTAGGATTAGTCTTGGCAACATAAGAAAAATATACGGCTGCAACTTTTCCCATTTAGACCAATTATTGACACAATTGGCCCTGAACCGTTTTCGTTGAACCGGTAACCGCCACATCAAATTATGGTTTCGTTCCGGTTCGGGTTCAATATGAAGCGTTCGATTTCGGTTTCGAGTTTTCTCCGGTTCGGTCAAAAATAACGATTTTGATCCGGTTTTCAGTTCGGGTTCGGTTCGACACCCTGGTTATAACGAAATAATTACGACCGCTCCTTCAATTTTGTTATAACGAGGTTTTGCTGTATAAACAAAAGCGGCAAAAATGCTTTTTTATGTTTTCTATTCCTTCCTTCACATGGCCAAACAACTAATAAATTCCCTCCCCCCCCCCCCCCTTCCCCCATCTCCATTTCTTTCCCCACCTGATCTTCTGCATTCAGCCGGAAGGATGGCTTTCTCCCAACTCGCGTGCCTAGTGGCTGAACTCAATTCCGAATATAAGGCAAATTGCATTTGGGAGCGCGTAACTTCCCCCAAAAAAACTCGCATTATATTTGTGCAAATACACTACTAAGTACCATTAAAAGGTGAAACTACATTGTCCAAACATTACCACATGGCAAGAGTGCCTCCAAGTGCATCCAAGACCTCCCCCGCAGTCATCCGCTGCTTCGGATTGAGTACAAGGAGCTTCCGGATGATCATCTTGGTGTTCTCCGAAATGGGCGAGTCCCTGTGCCCAAAAGAAGACAGATGTGTGCCAGAGTCAAGTTTCATGGCTCAAACGCTGTTTACGAAAAGAAGAGAAAAAAAAAAAAAAAAATTCAGCTTTAATTTTTTGTGTACCAAATTAAAAGTGCAAGGAAGTCTGTTACTGAGGCATCCGGATAACATTCTTATTACATGAGATCATACAATGATATGCAAGGTGTGTGCCCACACATCCCCATACACGTGAAGAATGTGCAATTTCCACAAGTTGCAAGCCGTCTAAAAATTCCTAGGAGGCAAGAAAGGTGTTTGATCCACCTCGGGACGGACAGCTCGACGTGGCCCAATCGGTCTATCACAGACTTTCATGACGTCGGCACCTCTTAGTTATTGTCGATAGAGATGCAGTTTCTCAATAGCAAGTGCTCTATAAAAAGGAAAGCTCAAAGTGGCACACTGTTTTCCCATCGTCCCATACATTTCCTGTTCCTGGCATGTGCCGAGGAATCGTGTGCATCCTGGAAGCAGGCAGTGCATAGTGCAGGTCATAGAAGTAGGAAAAAACGTGCGAGGACAAGGCCCAATGTTGTGTCCACTCACTCGGGCAGGGTGAATTCAGCAGCCTTGATTTTCCTGAACAGCTCCTGGGGCACGGAGTCGTAGAAGGGGAACTGTCCGTAAAGCATGGTGAACAGCACCACGCCCAGGGCCCACATGTCGCTCGGTTTGCCCAGGTACGGCTTCCCTGCCAGGTCACAGGTCTCGTTATGACGACTGAGGTTTTACAGGTGCAATGGCAACAAATATGTACCAAGCTGATACAAACATATACATTTTTAAAAAGTGAGCGCAGTAGACGGCCATTGTCGAGAAAAACCTAGGCCAGGGTGAATACTAGGAGGAACCTGAGACGAGCACTTTCAATGCTGCTCGTTGGGGAAGCCAGCTTGTGATTACTTAGCTACTGAACCGGACAACTGGAGATTGTCCGGCCATTTATAACAAAATATGATTCTGATTTTGTGGGCTTTTTACCGATTAACCTCTAAACATAGTTGCCAATATTTTGGTTTTGTCTCCTGCACCAGTGTTTTGATGTCGCTCGAGCATTCCCCTGTCACCAAGACATACGAAGAGTGTCCAAGCTGAATAATGGAATTGATGAAAGGTGCTTGATTCCAGTTAGATTCGAACAAGAGGCAAAGCACGTTTGGGCGATGTGAATTCAAGGAGAGGAGTGTGCCAATGCGAATCATAAATACAACAAGGAATAAAAAAAAAAAATCTTAAAAAAAAAAAAAAACCTGCAGATTAGGTGGACACACGAGGCTCGCAGATATACCATAGAATACCGCGCATCCGCCCATTCCACATTAAGCGCCCACTCCCAAATTTGTAAGACCTGAGAAAATATGCACAGTACATTGATATGTAAAATTGATGACCGGACAACTGCCCATCCCCCATTTTTTCGGAATTATCTCTAAATTTTGAGTGGGCGGTTGCCAGGTATTTTACGGTAGTTACTTAAGGAGGGACACTACCTGGGAATGTCTACTTTTGAACCGCTCACTTCATCGGTGTGAAATTTGCAGGTGGTGTTTGTAGCCATATAGAAGGAGGGCGGACATGCAAAGTTTCAGGCCTGTGAACCAATTTTATGAGGCTCTATACCCCTCCCCCCCCAAACGAAGTAAAGCATAGCTTTGCATGGAATCTGCTCAATGAATCTATCGTTGAGAAATGGTGTTGATCACATATTTTTGTGGTGGAATGCATAACGAAATACTTGTTGCCAGTTACTATAAAAAGAAATAAAAAAAAAAAATTTCATTTTTCAGGTAAAAGAAAATTTATGAAATTTTTTTTTTTTAACATTTGTCAAGTTTTGCGAATTACAATTTTTCATAATAAAGGAACATGAAAATGCAAAATCTAAGTTCATAGTAACCGGCTCGATAAAATTTTGGCGTGTAATCCACAAATGTTAAGTCTCTCGGTAGTTTCATACTGAAACGATAGCTTTATTAAAGTGGGATTTGCTGCCAAAAAGTGAAGCTGAGATAAATGCAGTTGAAGTTTGAAGATGACGTTTTAAAATTTTCTTTTTGCATTCTAAATTTCAGAAATTATTTTTAGCAGCGTAGGTGATGTATTTTCAATGTCAGCTATTTTCAATTTTCGATGGCGAGTGCACTAACATATCAAGAATAATTATTTTTGACATTGTTTGTCAGTGCACATTGACAAGACTTTGTGAGAGTGTTCCTTGTTATCCATACATGCCAAAACTCTGCAGTTCTGAATATGCACTTTTCTATAAAAAAAAAAAAAAAAAAAAAAGTTGCAATTTAAGTTAGTGTTTCCCCTTAACAGCTAGTCCAGGAATGGTAGACCTTTCATTAAAATACTTTCATTTGAGACCTCTTTGCATGCGAGCCATTTCATCCTACTTTTATCCCTTCTTGTTACTTTGAGTATTCGTGTTCATGACGCGAATGATATGCGAGGGAGTATGGGTGAAAGTATAAAACACAAATAGACAAACATAAAAGAAAAAAAGAGTTCCCAGCGTCCTTAAAATGACAACCGAAAGCTGAACGTACCACTCAGCACGTCTGGGCTGATGTAAGCGGGACTTCCACGCTGATCCTTGAGGAGGTCATTCTCGTTCAGCAGGTGCTTGCCCAAACAGAAGTTTGTGATGGTCACTTTGCGGCTGCGCTTGTGGAACACCATGTTGCCCAGCTTCAGGTCCCGATGCACTATGTTTCTCTGCATCACATCAATCGAAGATACCAGAGGTTCAAGCAGACAGCCAGCCAAAGTCTTTTTTGCAATGTGTGCAATACAGTGCCATGAGGCTAGTTGTTCATGCAGGCCAGGAATTTCAGTACTGGAAAATTTTGGCCATCTTGAGTCATGCCTGCATTGTTTGCATACAACTTGTGGGACTAAGGTTTACATAGTCATTAGTGAAGGAGCTCCCCAGGAGTGCCGCACCTTTCAGTGCCTGCATCATGACAGTATGGCAGTTTTCAGCATTAACATGTTGCGATGCTGCTGCGGCTACCGAAATTTTAAAAGTAAGAACTTTGCCCCATAGGGTGGCAGTGACAATGGCACCACCGTACGAATGACGTTACATATCAAAAATGAAAAGGCCTGTGGATAATGAAAATGCATGATGACAATGTACCAACCGTTATACATGCACATGGATCTCGGGCATTGTGGTTACATGTAAGCTGCAATTTTTCTAGACTAGGATCATAGTGCAAAGTCCATATCATTTATAAGTGGGGTAAGTGCGGGGGATTCAGGACAGGTGAAAAGAGGGCAATACCCCTCACCCCAGACATTCTGGAGATCTCTAGCAAAGAACTTGAAAGAGAGGGTGTGACCCCTCTTTCCTTCACCTCCCTCCCCCCAATCTCCCAAAAACTTCAAGTGGTAGCATTCATGTGTCTACATTTTTAAAGAGTAAGCCAGAGCTAATTACAGTAAGTTATGAAATAAGCCTAACAAAAGACAAGGCACTGCACATTTTCACACAATACTGCAATCAACTTGGTTTTGAGCGTACATAATGTCATACTCTATCCCACAATGTGGAAAGCATTTCTCTATTAAAACTGTGCAACTGCCTAGTATTTTACTAGACTCACGTTAACGTAATGGCCAGCAGGGAGACACAGGATTTACCTTTCTACTACCAGAACTGCAACATATAGGAAGCTCTTTGTGGTGCACATCTTTTTCTATAAATGCCCTATACATTGCCATACAACCAAGAGCATTTAGAAAAGCTATACCTCAAAATGCCTCTTTGTGAGAAAAACTAGAGTAGGCTGTAAAAGACTACCTTATAAATGCTTTGCTAGCATCATGCATTTGCTAAAAAAAATAAAGGATATGAACCCATTCGCTTCCAAAGCCGGCATTCTGACAGAAGCGCGCACCGCACCTTGTGCAGGTCGCAGACGACGCGCACAATGTCGTGAAAGATGAAGAGGGCCTCGCGCTCGTGCAGGCGCTTCTCCCGTATGACGTAGTGCTGCAGGTTGACCAGGTCGGCCGTGGCCGGGCTGAAGTCGTGGCTGCACAGGCAGTCCAGCACCAGGCACAGGCGCTGGCGCTGGCGCCCCGTGTACACCAGGGAGCCCCCGACCTCGCGCTCCTCCCAGGCGCGGTCCTGTCGGGCAATGTGGGCAAGGTCAGAGGTGTTCTCAAGTTTGAAACTTTTCACCCTTTTGTGCACGTGAATAGACAAACTTCACCATGCGTGCGCAAGAGTCTGTTGTATAAAGGCCGTCCAAACGACCCACTTCAAGAACGCGTGAAGCGATACTTCTCTGCCATATCAAGTGTGGTGATCCACTTCCGTTGCTGGAGAGAAACCGACGTCAGCTTTTGTTTGTCACGGAAGCTTACAGCATGCTCGTCACGTGTGTCTAGATGGCACACACTCTGTTGGCTGCCAGTCAATCGCTCAAGGCCTCCACTGCTCTTCAAGTTTTGAAAACGGGGAAGGGAAGGATACAAGGGTGCTGCAAAACAGATGGACAGGCAACAGGCACACCATTGGCAGGTAATGTGTGCTTTCAAGTCTGACGAGCAGCGACGTCAAAGAAAGGCAGAGGAGTCGAGGAGTGTAATGTAGATGGTTGAGCGTGTTGGTTATTAATTCACGATAAGGAAAGAGGGACATTTAAGACAAACAGACAAGACAGGCTTTCGACTTTCAACAAAACGTTTACTGGCTTGACTTCGCATCCTGAAGCTCGACGGGGGGCGTCGGGGAAATAGAGAGGGAGGATGGAGGGTGAGAGAAGTGCGAGCCAGCTCGCAGCTAAGCGTGCATAGCAGAAGGGGGGTCTGCTGAGTGTCAATCGACACGTCGCCGTTACACGCAGCCCCGAGTGCGGGCGGTGCCCTCTTGGGGAAAGAAGGGAGGAGGGGGGGAAAGGGCGACGGAGGAGAAGAAGATGTGCCGGCGGTGCTCTCTTGGGGAAGGAAGTGAACGGGGGGGGGGGGGGGGGGCGGGGGGGAGGCGCTGAGGAGAGAAGGAGAAGATACGCAAATTTAGACTTTTTATGTCTTTGGAGGAGCCCTCTCGCCCCGCAGGAAGCGAATCTCTTGATCAGAAAGAGAAAGGGATGGGCTGGGCAGGTTTGAGACTGAAGATTTGATATGTAGGGACTCAAGGATTTCCCTGCCGAATCGAGATTTGTGCCCGCCGAGAATTTTGGTTTTCGAGAACTCGGGGGAGCACGAGGGGCAGTCTTTTTTGGCGTGAACCACGACTGGATGGAAGGAGTCCGGAGAAGGAGACAAGATCTCCTTGGCATGCTCCCGGAGACGGTCATTCACGCACCGCCCCGTCTGGCCGATGTACTCGGCCCCGCACACAAGTGGAATACTATACACCTTTTCCCTTGTGCAGGGCCGGAAGCACTGCGCGTGTTTTTTTGTGCATGTGGGTGGGGGCTCTGGGTTGGTTACTCGCCTGCACATGCCTCCCAATTTAAATTTACATGTGAAAAGAACTCTGGTGCCGAATCGATGTGCAAGCGCGCGAAGTCGGTGTGCCGTGTTGTGGGAGTACGGGATGCACGCAGGGCGGGCAGACCGGGTCCCGGAGGGAGCCTCCTTTGGGCGGCTCCTCGACTGCAGGATGAGTTTCTTGCTGACGTTATCTAAAAGGTCCACCGGGTAGCCCGCCCTCCTGAGCCTGGTGGCCTGCAGCGACAGGCTCCTTCTGATCTTATGATCGCAGGACTTTTTGCACGAGGAGGAAAGGAGAGACTGGACAATTCCGGACTTAACGGTTTTTGAATGATGGCTAGAGAAGGGGGGGACAGGTTTCTGGGAACGCTGTTGAAAAGACCAGCAAAGACCGTGAAACGAGTGGGTCAGTCGAAGATCGAGAAATTGAAGACCCTCCTGAGTAGGGTCTTCTCTTTTGAAGGTGAGGCCACTGGCGTGAGTTTTGAATGCCTGAAGAATGGGAACATCTGAGTTGGAGACAGGATGAAGAACCAGATAGTCGTCAACGTACCGAAAGATCCTACATTCATTATCCGAGCGAGCAAGATGCTCCTGCACCGCGCGATCCACAAAAAAGAGATAAATCTCGCTGAGGATCGGCGCTAGGCAGGAACCGATACACACACCCGATTTCTGAATGAAAACCCTTCCTTCGTGTTCAACCAGAGTGGATTCCAGGTAGAGCCGGAGGAGATTGAGGAAGCCTCCGACCGGGATTCCAGACGCGTTTTGAAACGTCGTGAGTCCATGTAGGTCAATTGCCTCAGAAACAGAGCTTAGAAAGATTTTGAGGTCGAGATTGTAATACATGTCCTCGACATCCAGCGAGAACATGTACTGGTCCTGATTTGAATGCAAGGGTCGAATGAAATCAATCACCTCAAGGGAGCCCTTAACGCGGAAGGGGTGGGGAAGATCGATAGAGGAAAGGTGCTTTTGTAGGAAGAGGGCGAGAGGTTTCTGCCAGCATCCCCCTTCAGAGATTATGCTTCGAAGGGGAATGTCTGGCTTGTGTGTTTTTGCCGTGAAGAAGATGGAAAGGTACTGTTTTGTTGGGGCAGAAACTAGCGTTTTTAAGGAAGGGAGGCTGAGAGATTCACAAACAGATTTGACTTCGGACCGGAGTGCTCCCGATGGGCGTTTCTTTAGGGGAACAAAGTTCTTTTTTAGTGCCTCATCCACTTTCTCTCCGAATTTTTCTCTGTTCATTATGACGAATCGGCCCACCTTGTCCGCCTCCAAGAGCACCAGATCCGATCGGCGGAGCTCCTCCACGACGCAATTCACCTCCGAGCGCACAGGTGCACTCGCAGCACCGTGATGGCAAACCACACCAGCCGCCGCCCCGACAAAGTCCTGTCGATCACTCTCCGGGACCCTCGCCGCAATCTCGTAGACGGAAGCCAGCTGGTCCACTCTTGATGATGGCGCAGGCGGCGCGAACTTGGGGCCTTTAGACAGGAGGGCAGTCGCCTCCGCCGACAGCTTGGTGTCGGACAGGTGTATAGTATTCCACTTGTGTGCGGGGCCGAGTACATCGGCCAGACGGGGCGGTGCGTGAATGACCGTCTCCGGGAGCACGCCAAGGAGATCTTGTCTCCTTCTCCGGACTCCTTCCATCCAGTCGTGGTTCACGCCAAAAAAGACTGCCCCTCGTGCGCCCCCGAGTTCTCGAAAACCAAAATTCTCGGCGGGCACAAATCTCGATTCGGCAGGGAAATCCTTGAGTCCCTACATATCAAATCTTCAGTCTCAAACCTGTCCAGCCCATCCCTTTCTCTTTCTGATCGAGAGATTCGCTTCCTGCGGGGCAAGAGGGCTCCTCCAAAGACATAAAAAGTCTAAATTCGCGTATCTTCTCCTTCTCTCCTCAGCGCCTCCCCCCCCCCCCCCCCCCCCCCCCCCCCCCCCCGTTCCCTTCCTTCCCCAAAAGAGCACCGCCGGCACATCTTCTTCTCCTCCGTCGCCCTTTCCCCCCCCCTCCTCCCTTCTTTCCCCAAGAGGGCACCGCCCGCACTCGGGGCTGCGTGTAACGGCGACGTGCCGATTGACACTCAGCAGACCCCCCTTCTGCTATGCACGCTTAGCTGCGAGCTGGCTCGCGCTTCTCTCACCCTCCATCCTCCCTCTCTATTTCCCCGACGCCCCCCGTCGAGCTTCAGGATGCGAAGTCAAGCCAGTAAACGTTTTGTTGAAAGTCGAAAGCCTGTCTTGTCTGTTTGTCTTAAATGTCCCTCTTTCCTTATCGTGAGTCGAGGAGGAAAGCTGCAATGTTTGCCTGGTGGATGTCCAAGCAAAAAACAGACTGCCGGGCTTCAACTTTCACTTCACATGGCAAAGGAGTGTCACCTCACACGTTCTGAAGTATCCTGTTTGGGCTATGCTTAAGCCAGCGCTACTAACCTTGGAGGAACATTGAAATGAAAAAAAACAATTTTTTAAAGGGCCTAAATGGGACACATATTTTTGTAAATTATTTTACAAAAAAAAAACATTTGTATCAATATTTACGTTGTTAGACACAATTTAGGTGGGGTATTCCTGCTCTAGGCCCTGCCCAGTGCTTACAAAACTACCTAAGCACCTTTTCTCCACTCTCATGCTTGGAGATGATTGACGTGGGAAACGTAGGTTGTCAAATTGCATCTCGATGCCATAATAGTATTTTAGTCTACAATATTTTTATGTTTGAGGAATAAACAATTTAGATTGCGATTACTGTTTTCAAAAATATCCCGAGATTGCCTTTCCGTTTCGGTTTCAAACAATAACAAACATGGCTGCCGACGGTTGCAGAGTGATCATAAAAGTAGAGCTCATCTACTTTTATGAGTTCGAGTCGTTCTGCGTTCACCGAGGTGCTTAGAGGAGATATCCTCAACTCAGCGAACAACTGTCGCAAGTATGCGTGTTTGGAACCGCTGTTGGCGCTGTGCAGGTGCTCGGGTTCGTAGCGCACCAGAACTATGTTGGTTGATCTCGCTTGATTTGTTCCTTTGCGTGTTGCTGAATAAAGATATTGGTTCCCGTAAAAACGGCCCTGCTACTTTGTGAATTGTGCGACCGTTCTGGCTGCAACCACGGTTTCAATACCCAAGGAGATACCTACACAGGTAAGAATTTGTGAACGATTTGACTTGAGGCAATCGGACGTTTGGCTCGCATCAAGTTTGTCCAGGTTTGTTCACGTAACTTTCGCTTCGAAAGGAAAGTGACTCTCATGTTTTGCAGTGCATCTAGCCTGCCAATGCAAATATTTTTAGGCTGCGTTTTAATTGTGCGTCATGACGCTGACCATATTTGCTCGCGGATGCCGTGCGAAAAAATAACAAGAACGGAAAAGCTGGAAGGGCTACATATTTACTTTGTTGACTTTTTTTAGTCCTCTTGGTCGCTTCTACCGCACATCGACAGATGCTGACAGATGCTTGTATTGGACCGTGCCCCGTGCATGATGGACCGTTAGAACGCCGCTTTCATGATCGTGTCTTGCAAGCGTTGCAGAACTTTTTAGACGGGGGCGGAATAGCAGGCGGACAGAGGCAAAAACGGAAGCCGACACACAGCTTTCATGTCCGTGTCTGAGCATTGCAGACGACGATAGACGGTGGTGGAATAGCAGACGATGCTGGAGGCTTCTGCACATCTGCTCGCACGACTAGCAGGTGGTGTCAGACTCCCAGACTAAACACACCGGATGTCGGGAAAATGGAGACAATAGGCTTCCAAGCATGTCCGGCCGAGCAGCCAAGTCAATCCAGTAGTAATGGGCAGGGCCACCAATCTGTAGGCGGGGCTTAGAACAGGCCGTAACCTCTACCTAAATTGCGTCTAACACAGCGTAAATATTGCACCAAATTATTTTATTTTCGTGGAAAAAGTATAAAAGCCAATGTGTCCCATTTATGTTTAAAAAAAAAAATAAACCTTTCTTTCATTTCAGAGTTTTTTTAAGACAGTTCAATCACTGGTCTTTTTCTGCCCTGTGGACACTGACATAGGCACTAGTTTCACGAAGACGCTAAAACTCTTGCCGAGTTCTAATTACTGCCATTTAACCTGCAAAAAAAAAAAAATCAATTAAAAAATCCATTCTTTTTATATATACAAGTAACATGTTATTAGGGCATGATCACTTTATTTGACAAGTGATGTTAAACAATCATGTCTCCACAGTTCAAATTTCAGCCACCACCCGTACTACCATTTATTGGTCGAGCGATGCACCGCCAAGAAATATGAAATACTAAGCTCATTAAGGTTTTCCATGCTAAGCCCTCAGTCCCTTCATATTTTTCCTCATAAACTGTGCTGCCACCTTCAATTGCACTTTTAAACTCCTGCCTATGTTACAAACAAAAACTGACCTTAAAAAAAAAATGCTCTATTGGTTAGTTGATTAGGCGGCATTTTAAAGTCACTTTTGTGTGTGTTTGTGTATAGTCTGTGGATGTATGAATTGCAATGGGACGTGCAAATACTGCATGCGTAAATCTACAGTCGCTGTTCCTTCAGCAATAAGGTTGTGGGTCCCCAGAGGAACAAGTGAGAGATGAGATAGCACTGTAGGATTCAAAAGGAGGGATCCAGCACCACAGCACTGGAATGGTTAATTTTAGAGCAATCATTGGCTTTTTGGCAGTTGCTGTGTGTTATGTATGTGAGAGTTGGTCAAAATGCTTAACTGCACTATGAAATTCACCATTCCTAGGAACCTCTTGAGTCCTGCGACGTTTGTTGAAGGCCACTTGTTTACGCTGGTCGCTATCTTCTCCTTGTCTTGGGTGACGCCATCTTTGCTGATCACATGACCCAGAAACTTGACTGTTTCTTGAGCGAACATGCACTTTTCACGGTTAAGCATGGATCCCTTTCTTCCTCAGTCTTGCCCAAGACTTCACGCAGGCGACTGTCTTGCTCTTCCTTGGTCTTGGCCCAGACCAGATTATAATCGATGTGACATGCAAAACCGTCAAGTCCTCCCAAGAGTTGAGTCATACTTTGAAAATGCTCAGGAGCACACGGGATGCTGAAAGGGAGGCGGTTAAACGTAAACCGGCCAAATGGAGTGATGAAGGTGGTGAGTAGTGTTGACTCTGGGTGCAGTTTCACTTGCTAAAAGCCAGAATAAGCCTTTAAACGGGAGAAGTACAGTATTAAGCTTGTCCCAAAGTAGCCAGAATTGGCTCCACACCTGGAACTGGACGATACCCTCTCTGCATGCCCTTGTTGAACATGGTATAGTCCACACAGACGTGCATGTAACCGTCCTCTTTCAGCACTATCACGATAGGCGAGCACCAATCTGTTGGCTCACTGACAGTGGTGATCACTCCTTTGTTTTCCATCTTTCGGATTTGACGCTCCACAGCTTTCAACAGAAGTGGAATGCGTCGCGGCAACGTGACCGCCACAGGCTCCACCAGCGACTTCAGCTTGATTTTGCAAGAGTAGGTTGCTTCTCCAAAACCTTGAAACACTTCAGAGAACTCGCTGACTAGGTCCAGACATGGTTCTGCTCCGGCTCTCTCACTCAGCACAGAATACCGAAGTGTTCGATGAGGTCCAAACCCGGGAGAGGCTCATCCAGGTCCTTGGTGACGTAGAGGCTTGCCAGGACACTTTTCCCATTGTATGCTACTGTTGCTTGCATGATCCCCCCAATATCCAGCTGCTGCTTCGCTGGTCCAAGAAGTATGTCGGGATTTTGGAGGGTTGTCCCTTTGTCCAGCCTTGCCAGTACACTTGTTGGAATCACGGTAACGTCCGCTTTTGTGTCTAGTCAAAACTTGGCTGTTTTGACTACCAAGGACAACAATGACTTTCCATGGCTTTCCATGGCGCCGTGATGAAATCCGCTGCTGCTCCTACCTTACACTGCGAGCGGCTATTGAACACTGTGCGCTCGTACACAACATTCTTTTTCATGATAAAAAAATTTTCAAATGCTGCGACAACGTCGAAGTAGGATTCCGTCTTGTCTGCAGTGATGGGAAGGGAAGCGAAAATCTCCTTTGCCTTGGGTCCCACGAGGTAAACGAATGAGTTCACTTGCTTGGCTTGGGTCTTCCCTTGCAGGCCCGAGGCGGTGCAGAAACGATCCCATCGTCTCTTCCAGGTCGTCCACTGCTCAGGTACGAACGTGAACGACTCCGGAGCTGAAAGCTACTATGGCAGTGGTCGCTGTGGTGCTGGTTAAGAGGCCTGTGAAGACGCATTGTTCCAACCAGTAAGCCCAACGGCGATCCGTTAACAGCAAATGGCGACGCCAATCGTTCAATGTTTGTGCGCCTGCCGAGCGTCTTGCTAATGGTGCGTGAAGCTAAACTTAGCTCGAGAGAGGGTCCCTGACACCATGTTATGTATGCAAGAGTCAGTCAGAACGTTTTTGTTTTTTTAGGTTGCAGTAAACTATGCGGCAAATATGACTCCTTGAGGGCAAGCCCAGAAAGCGGTGGACTGTTCCTGGCGCAGCACAGGCTTGACTTCACTCTCCAAATCCCCAGCATGGCGGCAGGTGGCGCTACCAGTTAGTTGCGAGCACACAACACTATGCCCTCTAATGGTGGCATGCGAGGCACCTGTCTTAGCACATGTAACATGGGTCCACATGTTACGGTTGCAGAATCCTTAGCTGTACCTGATTCAATTGAGCTCAATGGGCTGTTGCCTGTTGCCTGCTTCCATGTTTTGCTCAGCTCAGAAAAGATGCCGGGGTGCTGCCACTCTAACTACCTGCGAGATAAATATAATCTCAAGCAGCCGATGGCAATAAGATTTCCATTGGCTGTTTGAAAAATGTTACGTTGTCCCAAACTTCTATGAATGCAAGTTTTCTCAGTTTCATGTTATCCAATAAATCTCGAGGAGGAAACAAATCTTCAGGAGTTCTATAGTAAAGCATTATGATATAGAGTCCATACTTCCCAAGGAATTTTTGAGACGTCTATCATGAATTCTGAGAAGCACACTCAGGGGTAGCAAAGTAAGGTGATAGCAACATGGTATAAACAAGAGAAAAGTTTCAGAGTGGGGTGTTTACCCAAATGATAGAAACAATTTAGAGAAAAAGGCTATATTTCAATGAGAAGGTGGCACCTTTATGTGCAAAGGACATTACTTATCTCAAGATCACATCACCCAAAAACATAAGCCCTTCAAATAAACATAAATTCTTTCCTTCTAACTACTGATTCACAAACATTGTGACTCCAAGCTTTATCATCCTATTAAGTTTTGGCACAGCATTAATATTTGTTTCGAAGGTAAACGTTCGGCAGCCCTCTGCCTGGTTAGGAATAGACGTGAGGCGAAAAATAGGGACTCTAACCAAAAATTTGATAAACATTTACCCAACATTTCGGGACCAGTTCGGTCCCTTGTTTACGCGTGAGTGACGAAAAGAAAAGAACACACGTCGCCTAAATGCACATACGGATGTAGGCGGCTTTGCTCGCATCACGCAGTCCCGAGACGTAGCTGCTGGGCAGGGAGCCCGAAGAACGATTCACATTCCCCTTTGTGTGCTGGATAAACCAAGACTCAACGAAAAGCCGCTTTCGCCAATTCCTCTCCAAGGCCAGCACGGTGCTTCCCTTGAAGGCCAACACAGTGCTTCCCTCGAAGTCAAGGGAAGCACCGTGCTGGTCTTGGAGAGGAATTGGCGAAAGCGGCTCTTCGTTGAGTCTTAGTTTATCCAGCCCACAAAGGGGAACGTGAATCGTTCTTCGGGCTCCCTGCCCAGCGGCTATGTCTAGGGACTGCGTGACGTGAGCGAAGCCCCCTACATCCGTATGTGCATTTATGCGACGCGTGTTCTTTTCTTTTCGTCACTCACCCGTGAACAAGGGACCGAACTGGTCCCAAAACGTTGGGTAAATGTTTATCAAATTTTCGGTTAGAGCCGCCAGTTTTCACTTCGTAATATTTGTTTCCACAATGTGCAGATTATTTTTAATGGCATGAAAGGGACAATCAGTTTTTGCCGCCGAGACCCATGCCTTTTGAACTTGGGCAATAACACACCGAGAACGGAATTTAACTTCGCTTACCTACCATCTCACCCATGCATTGAAGGGTTTATCAGTCTAAGGAAACACTGAAGTTCAAAAACTCTTTTTACAAATACGAAACAAATATAGGGAACGGGGGGGGGGGGGGGGGGGGGGTGTTGAGGGCTTACCTTAAATATGCCGTGATGATGCACCACCCCGTCCTGGTCGTGCAGTAAAGACAGCAAAGAGTATTCCGTGTGCAGCAACATCTTGCCCTGACGGTCCTCTTGGCTTTCCTCTTGCGGGTTCTGGATCGTCAAGATCTGGCAACGATGCAAGCAGTCCGTAAAAACGCGAAACGCGTCGGACCGATTTGTCCGATACCCGAGATAGCAGGAAGCTCCCAAGAGGAAGCACGATGCGGAGAAGGAAAAAAAAAAAAAAAAGAAAGTAAGATAAAAAGAAAAAAAGATGCGCGCGTTCAGTCTTTGAGGAAAGGGCCCGGTTCTACGACGTAACACCGCGTGTATTACCTTTATTGTGTAGAAGCATCGGTGCCTTCTTTCCTGGCGAGGCACTGGGTGATACTGCACACGGGCGACGTGCCCAGCCGGGGTCCTTCAACAAAGGAGCGTTAACGAGTGGCGATAAGTGGAGATCCGGGCGACTGCGACGTTACGCCGACATCAGCCACAGCGGCACTTACCTAACAGATAGGGACCCGCCTTCTTGGTCACCCTCGTGCTCACGGGGGTGCCTTCTTTCGGACATTCGCCGCTGCAGCTTGTCGACTGTACTTCATCGTACCTCGCTTTCTTCATGTTTGTTTACCTTCGGACGACTTCCTAGAAGGAAATTCGTCAGGCTGCCACCCCGCGCGAAATGGTCCGGCAAGGTGGCGACACTCCGTGGACACTTACCCTCTCCGTTCATTTACATGGCTCACTCGTTCGTTGCCGCTGAAGTGGAATCAGAATTGGCCGAGCATCTACGATTACAAAAGAGTACGTCTCAGAACTACCAAGAAGCAGACATCACAAAACAAACGAACGCCGCCATGAAAGCAGGTCCGCAGTTCCGGGAAAAAAAGCGGTTACAAAACACCCGATGACAGAGTTTAATGCGAATTAAATAGAAAAATAAAACCATTAAAATACAATTATTACTTTTTGTAAGCTGATTTCTTCTAACAAATTTGAATGTGCTTCGTTTAATACTTTGACTCTTATTGTGCGAGTCGCAGAGCGGTGGCGTTTAATTGTGGTTTTCGTATTGTGTGGCCCACAAAGTAGAAGAAGATGCTCCCTGATGTGAGTAAAATAACCGCCTTTAAATGGATTACGTACAAATGACGCGTAACAAACCTTGTGAGCTATCGGTGCTTAAAATTGACTCTTTTAGGAATGTGCGTGTATCTATTTCAGTGGTGCGGTTCGTTACCTCTACCTCCCATACTTTTCCTCCTCCTTAGGCCCGCAAGAACACTGCCAGTGAAGTCCTGACTCGGGATTTCTCCTGTAAATAAATCCTGTTATTTGAAAATAGTTTTCCTGGACGATGGAGTCTTGAACGCTGTGTGGGCGCGGCATTACGTGGTGTTCACTGCCATGGAGTCCGGTGAGTGCTCGCTGTCAGACGCCGCCTTTTTTGTGTGAACCGGTAGCCACTCGTTGCCCGATTCATATGCTGGTGCAATTCTGCTTGGATGCGACATCGAACACCGCAGGTTCCATCCATGCTTTTTTTTTTTTCTTTTTGCCGCACGACGTTACAACTGAGAGTCACAAGCAAAATCGCACCAAATCTTTAGTCTATGTTGTGACCCAACGATGCATAACGCGAAGTCCCTTCTTCAGGCTATGTCCTGTCCTCTTCTGTCCTGTCCCCTTCTTTTCTTTCTAATCATTTGCGCTTTTTCACATCCTGTTTAACCAACTAGCCCACCAGTTAATTATAATTTCTTTCATCAATACTACCCGAAGCAAAAAAAAAGAAAAAAAACTTGGTGGTCTAGGTGTAACCTATGTCTAACAAGGTTCCAGCCTTGTCTAAAGAGAAATTAAGTGTGTGAAACGAAAAAATGTACGCAGAAACGGACGTGAATAACGAGACCACGGAGAACAAGGGACCTGGGTCTCCACACTGGCTCAAGCCAAACGACTTGCTGCGGCTGAGAAGAGCGGGCAAGCGCCGTCTGCAGCCCAGGGCCCTACAGCCAGTGAACCTGAATGCCGAAAACACTTCAGTCGATGTGCGAAAGCGAGACTTTGTCATCAATCCCTTCAGGTAAGTCAGCAATTTGACACGACTGTTAAATTTCGTGTTTGATAACCTGCAGTTAAACTTGTACCTAAACTGACCAGGCTGTTGCGGGACACCAGTTTGGTGGCAGCTGATGAAACTAATAGGTGACACTGTGCCGAAAGAATCTTTGTGTTTGGGAGGAATACAGTAGCATACTTTTCGGTGCACTGACAGAAAAACAAACGTTGTGCTGATTGCATATTTGTTCCTCTGGTGACAAGATGATCGTTCGAAAATGCCTCATGTTTATTTGATCCTTCAACCATGCTCTATTAACATAAAAAGCCCACAGTATCGAAAAAAGTTCTAATTTATTTTAATTCTTCACTAAACATAAGACACGTAAAGCGAGGCACAGCAAACCGCTTTGCAAGAAAAGACTGAGCTGTAATTAGGGAGTTTTAGAATAACATACGCAATTTTAGCGCACGCTAGCGCTAAATTTAGTGCTTGTATTAGCGCACGCGACGCAAGCGAGTTTTAGAATAGCGTTTCTCCGCCGCGACGCAAAAGCCCAAGCAGCTCGCGCTTGCAACGCCACCAAGATACAGTCACAATTTTTATTTCACACACGAAATGCTGTAACTTTAGCAAAAACAAACAAGTTTTTTGGTTCAGAGTACTATTTTAGAATTGTTTAAACATGATAATGCGACGCGAGCGGTTGACAAGTCGTGTCCGCTTGCGTCGCCTCGGCTAGAGAGGTCTCGCAGACTGACCTTCGCCAAGAAATGTTTGCGCGTTGCAAGCATCAAGTTGCCGGGGGTCGTTGCCAAACCACGTACAATGTCGTCCCGCATTGAAAATCAGTCTCGTGGATGCCGCCGACGTCGCACTCACGACGCCGCCAAAGCAGCCGCTGACATAATCCTGGAAGCCGCCATTTGTTTAACTGTACTCATCTTGGCTTTAGCCAACTTTTCATCACGAATCCTCCTTGGAGAAGCGCAAAGACTCTTTGCGTACGCACGCTATTTCCGAGAAATAGCGCACGCTAAAATTGCGCACGCAAAGCGCAAAACCTGGTTTGCGTTCGGAGCATGCACAGTGGCGACGACACTATCCTTTGCTTACGCAAAGCTTTAGCGTGCGCTATTCTAAAACTCCCTATTACTTGGTGCAATACCCAAGCTCAAGACTACAATTCATCCTCCCCCCCCCCCCCCCCCCCCCCTTGCCTCCCCCAACATGTGCACACAGAAACCAATTTCCATAGATGTGCCCAATTCAACATCACAGGTCAGCTTCACGGGATCCTCCTAGCACCCCACAAAGAAAAATGTGCAGTTGCACCCTTCGTTTAGATGCGATTGGAATTGTACATTTATGTGTGGAAGTGGCAGGAGGCCACGGTGCTAGGTGTGAAGTGTAGGAGGGGGTTGTATTTTTTCTTTCTTCTTTGCGTTCTGGATTCTCAACAATATAAGAGGATGGATCAACTTACGGTTAGGATATGCAGGGCCTACAAGGCTTCCTGAGCTCTTCTACAGTTTGCTGAAAATGTCTGTTGCCCTAGTGAGAGGAAACTGCAGTGTAGTCTCATGGACAGTGTAGAGAAAGCTTATATAATGAATGGCATAACCAATATCTATCTCAGCTGGGTATGGCAGGGGTCGAGAATCATAACCCAAGTTTTCTCCAAACAATCTTGGAACCAGTAAGAAAACTAGTTTTCACATCTTCATTTTGCTCTTCCCTCCTTCTCGTAGTAGCATGATGACCATGTTGGTATTAGGACTGTTCAGAATTTCGACTACAGTTTGGATGAAAACTGTAATACGTAGCTTGTTTCTACTTTTTTCTTTGTCTGAAATGCATAGTAGACAGGGTGTTTTAGGCTCTTGCCTACTACATGAGCTCTAATGAGTGTACGAGAGTGATCTGTACGAAGCCCTTTGAACAGAATGCTCTTTGACCAGGTGTGCGTCGCAGAAGAGACCACGTCCCGAAGATGGCTCAAGCCAGTTCCTCGGACGCATGTCCACTCCTAGTGGACACAGTCCCAGCAGCGTCCAGGTCCAGGTAATCCTTTTTATCTTGCTGCATTTCTACTTCACTTGCATAAAGTAAAAAAACGAGCGTCTATTAAAAAAATTGGAGCTATTCGTGCAAACATGAGGACGGGTGCTTGTTATGTTTGAGGTCAGTAAAACGGAAGGGGCGCATGCTAGGGTGGACCGGTGTTTGATCCGACGGAACAGCGTACGAGCAGGATACGGGTCTGGCACAGCCCCTAACTTTTAGAACGGCTATGCCTCTTTCATCGAGCCTCCTTCCCACCCGCGCTTTTGTGTCAAGTTTCGCACCGGCACAAGTGCGTAAAGCTTCACCGCTTGCGCTGACCAGTCCAAGATTTAGCCGGTGCAAAGAAGCATATCGGTTAGCTCGGTGGGCATGTTTGGTGTTTTACGATAGTTGCGTCGGTTGCACCTCTTTTAATCGCTTTGTGTCCATTGCAGAAGCTGACCATTTCCAAGCTTCCTGTTGACTCTTACGATGATGAGACATGCCACTCCCTTTCCCATGGCAGCAATGCTGGAAAACCTGCACAGGTAACCTCCGTTCCTGCATTCCTAAAAGAGATCATTTATCTTGTTTGGCAGATCGCCACAATTCGGATCTGTCATTTCGCACGCGAAGTGGGAGTGATTAGGCTAGAAAGAGAAAATGCTAGGGGGCAGATATAGGGTGTGCAAACGTCTCTAACCGGATGTTCGTTGTTTTTGGACTCTAGACGTTTGCAAGTACAGCATCTGGGCGCCGCCATCTTGCCACGTTTCGGCAATGCTTGATTATCGGACGACCTACCCACACCAGCAGCAAGATTGCGGCGCCAAGAGGCTGTACTTGTAAACGTCCATAGTGGATGTACGTTTTCCAGGAGGCCGCACTTCTACTCGGAGTCATTTGCTCCGTAGATGGCTAGCATTGAGCCCCCCTTTGCACGCAGGGTGCCTGGCAGGCCCAGCTGCCTCTGGACTGGAGCCTCAAGACTCGGGTGAGGTTCTGCTCCCCCAGCCACTTCCCCTGGAACGGCAGCCTCAAGACGTGCGAGGAGGCCAGCGGGACCACGGGCTTCGTGCGGGGTGTCCACGCTTCGCAGGCTGCGTCGGAGGTACTGCAATACCCCTTTATAGTGTGGCATTTTGTTTTCTGATAAGTGTGTGTGTCACTTTAGAGCAGTGGTTCTCAAATGGGGGTCCGCAAACCCTTTGGGGTCCGCAGAAGCATTCTAGGAGTCCTTGAAGCCCTACCTCATCAGTCAAGCCGGGCAATAGAAGTTGTCTTCCTTCAGATCAAGAAGGAACAAGAGAAGTGTACTTCACACTAGTTCTTAGTTAAATCCATTTATTATGTCATTATTATATTTAACCTATGCATTTCTCTTCCCCTTACCAAAAAAGGGGTCCTCCATCATCTCTGCTGATCCACAAGGAGTCCGCAAAACATTGATGGTTGAGAACCACTGCTTCAGAGGACACTTTTTTTATTATGATTATTTAATTGTATCTCACAGAATGTGCAGCATGTTTTGAGCTCTGCTGGATGTTTGATTTACGGTAGAACTTCGTCGATATGTTTTCCGGGGGACCGGAGAAATAAAACACACGATCTGAACAAGAACACTATTCGGGGTGGTCTGGAGACAAGATAGGTAGTGACTGTCACGGAACCATTCTACACAGACATTCATGGGTGCAAACTCAAATTGGCTCGGAAAAATTTCTAAACATTCGTAGGTATTAACTGAAATAAACTTGCTGTAAGTTCATGGGCTGAATCTCGAATACTCACAGAAAAAATTTGAAAACATTGGTAGGCGTGAACTTGAATACAGTACGTTCAGAAAAAGCTCGTAATTTACACGTGGCACTTGAGGTGACTGAAATGCAAGAGAGTGACAGAGTCCCGGGCTTGCAGAGGGGCATTTGCCGACGTCCCCGTCGATTCATCTCCGCGCAGTCGTGCTCAACACTTCGGTACACCAAAGCCGCAAAAAAGGTCTTGCTGGATGATGGTGCTGTAGTGCACGCGCAGAAGGGACCGGGGTTTTGATAGATGCTTCTTAACATGGACCAAGAGGAGTGCCAGAACCTGCAGACCATCAGCCGGGCGAAGTTCTTGGAGCTTCTCTCACATGTGGAACTAGGAACTGCGTGGCAACATGGACCACCAAACAAAGCACAATGATAATCCATCTTTGTGTTGCTCTTTAAAAAGTGAGATTTTTTTTTCGTTGCCAGATTACATGTGTTTAAAGCGTGGTTTCAAGTAAACAATCCGTGACCAAAAATGCGCACGTTTTCAGTCCGTGCTTTTCACAGATTTTTGGCGGGTGTTCACTTGAAGAGCGTTTTGTGTGGCAATGGCACACCTTCTTTTGACAAGCGAAACAAAGGTGGCGCATTGTTTACTTTTGTTTGTTCGCTCGTTCATTTTGATTCTTTGTTCCACACGAGAAGAAAACTATTCCCGGCTGATGCACCTCGGGTTTCAGTACTCCTCCAGGTCCGTGTCAAGAAGCTTCTGTCAGGACTTGTCTAGCACACTGCTCTCTGCCTTGCACATCAATCCAGCCTCTCATTTGACAAGACTGAGAACCAACGAGGTTGGGCAAGACCTTTTTGCGCCCGTACGCCCCTTTGCAAACCCAGGACTCTGTCGCTTCTACTTTGACCCTCCTTGAGCAGGACCACACTTGTGTTATTTCTTAGGTTAGTAAAGGTAGCGGGGCCTTGCGCTACACCTCTCACGGTGTTCTGTCTCTCGTGGCACGTAACGGTGTGATAGATATAGTGTGATAGCGCCGCGATCGTAGCGACAAACGTCGCATTAGCTCTTGGACGATGGTTCCACTATGCAGTCGTCATGTGGTTTGGTCGATTTTCACTGTCCCTTGTCTCTCCCTCCGTGTGAAGGTGCTTGGGAGGTGGATGATCCGCGGACGTGTCGCTACACAGTCAACCTATCCGCGAATGGGCCGGCGGCTTTTTGGACAGACTGGGAAAGCAAACTCACTAAGCAGGAAATTAGTACATGTGTTCCTATGGGAGCTCGGCGGGACCGGCACTTCCAAACGTAAAAGCTGGTAACATATTAACAAGGTACCACTGCATACGGTGTTCTGGAATGTCTCCTAAGGTACATTTAGGTCTGTTCTGGAGCTGAGGGAATGGTGGGTTGGGCTTTACTCAAAATATCTAAAGAAGTTTAAATTTTTATGGCTGCGCTGGATGGTGCGATGTCCTGCGTTATCGGTGAGTGTTGGTCTTGGGATTATGTGGTTGGTCTCGCTATGGGTGACACATTTGTTTCTGTCATGGCCGAGACTAAACAGGGTACCGCCGTAATATCCCGACACATAGCCCACCTAAAATTGAAAGCAAATTGGGTGAAAATATGGAGTGAGCTAACTTTCGGTGTGCGATAAAAGAAAGCAAAAAATATAGTTTTAAATTTTGTGACCTCCGAAACTTGCAATTGCAGGGAAGGGAGATGAACCAGAGACGATTGTCCTTGCCAGTCAGCAATGTTCGCTTGTCCCCCGCTGTGGCTAATGGTGAATTGCACTGGTAGATCTGGAGCGCTTTTGAAAATCCGTGAGGGAGGCAAAATTCCACTTTGTGGGACCTGCTCCATTTTGACAAGTGGAAGATGAACTCACATTTTTGAAGCGACCTGCCCGAGATGGTCGGCCGTTCAAAATGGTTGCTGCTCGAACTTGACAAGCCCATCAACGCCTCGGCCAACTGAGCTTTCCTACGACCATTCACAGTTGTATTTATGCTCGCTGAGGTTTTTAGTTGTACGTAACATATGAAAGCCCAACTACCCAGAACAGAATTTGCGGCTCGAAATTTGGTTTCTTTTTGCCCGAAAACCGCCTATCTGGCCGGTTTAAGTAGCGCTCACTCTCTTTTCCGTGGTCACGAGTGGTTTTCTAAGGTTTAGAATTGGCCACCAAATTCAATCAAAGTCGTGGGTCATTGAAGGCACACAGTCAATACTAAAAATATAAAAAAATATGAAACCCATATTTTGTGGCTTTCAAAAGGCTGTAAACATGTTGATTGAAAAAAAGGTTGCCCAGACAACTGGAAGCATTCTGTGTGTTCACTGCATAATTCTCAACATGGCGTCGTTTTGCGTTTCATGGGACTCGCGGGTGGAAGTGGACGACGGGCGTGGGACTTCTACTTCAGAACTGTTGTTCACGGTACCGGCGAATTCTGTCTTCCTTCGAAAGAGAAATTTTGCACAGATCACAAAAATTGATGTTCATCCCGTACGACACGCCCGACCAGCAAGCCATTTACACGATGACGTTGCCGAGCCGTCGTCCCTTCTCGTGGCTGAAGACATCGCTCGCTCAAACGTTAAGCGCGAAGTGCGTACTTCGAGTTGAAGACGCGCTCGTACGGTTTCTTTACTAGGTGCGAATGTGGCCAGTGCGTGGTGCTGCCCGACTTAAAGCTGGGAGTGCATGTACCGGAGGGAATTCGGCAGGAAACTTTCCAACATACAGTCGACCGGCTGCATTACTACAAATGAAAGCGTTCCTTCAGTAGCTCAGTGGAAAGACGTCCGTTTCACACGCCACGGGCACGGGTTCAATCCCTAGTGTGGGCGTACCATTTTTTTTTTTTTTTCCAAGCATTTTGTTATGTTTACATTTCTTTTTTTACAATTATCACTGAAAAGAACAATTGCTGTGGACGATTCGTCACTGAACTAATTGGTATGGGATTCTATTTTTGACACTTCTGCTGCACAATGCCACTTTCAGATGCAGGACGTGTGAGACAGCTTTTCATGCAACATCTTGGGAGTATTCTTTTCGGAGCCGATCACGGGAATTCACCACGGGCACTTACTACTAATTGCCAACATTTAGATGTACAAAACAACTCATCTTGAAGTCCTGAAAGCTGTTTGTCGGCACAGTTTAAGGTCCCGCGCCATTGCAGACTTCACTGGTGCATCACCCGCTCCGACGGGTCGAACTTGCATCCACCAGCACACTTGTTGGTTGCTTCCGAGTGAAGAAAGGCCATAAATGAGCACCGAAAACCTAAACTGCCCGGATCAAGCCTGTCAATGCAAAATAAACATAGTTAGCGCTCCAGCATGATCTCGACATTCTATCAAACGATATGCGACCGTAAATCGCGCAGAAAACTGCGAAGAGAAGCTGCGGGTAGCTGCGAGGCTGTTCCAGCGGCCTCCGGAGTGGCTCTTACAAGAAGTGCCGCCACCCCCCGGGAGTCGGGCGCGCCGTGCGCTGTTCACCGCCGTACATTCGGGTTAATTTGCGAATCGCTATCAATAATACTCGTTCGTGCAAATAAAAAAATAATTAATTTGTAAAATGAGCGCAAAGAATAGGGCAATGCTAGAGGTACAGCCGGCTGAACTCGTAACAAGCCGAGGTGTTCATGATATCGCTATTGTTTCGTTTTTGCTGAAGGTGGAATGCTTTGGTTCGATTATAAATTGACCCCCCCGCTTCAGATTTTCAAAAATTGAAAAAAGGGTTGACCTACATTATTCTGACACCATAATAAACCGCCTGGCAAAAAATGGAAAAACAAATTTGGGGGGTGCCACTGTCCCTCGTAGCGTGCTTTTGTCAACTTTCGCCAAGCACCTTGAAATCCCACGGATCAAGTTTGGAGGTGTTGGAGGCGCACTCCAGATGGAGCGCTTGTGGAGTGCCTGAGACCTGCGTGCGGAATTCACCATAGGTAACTTCATTTCTGCCGAGGACACCATTGACCAGGGCCTGCAGTTACTAGAAGTGGGCTATTTTTCTATGTTTCTGAAATAACGGCAAATCATGCCAAAAATAGGGGCCGGGTTATTTTTTGTAGGTTTATTCAAGCCTAATGTTGACAAGTGCGAGTCGTGCCGTGTTTTTGGGAGTAGAAACCGAGAGAGAGGGGGAAGATCGGAGGATGCGGGGACATCGGAAAGCCAAACTCCGACTGGAGTGATTAGTGGGTGGACACAAAGCTCTACTCACTGTTTGAACGCGGAAAGCCGGACATCAGCATTCGGCGTTTGAACGCTGCGCTTTAGAGTAGCTTGTAGAGACAAGGGTTTTGCACCTACCCACGATTCATTTCAGTCGGAGCTCTGCTCTTTGGTATCCCCGCGCACTTTCGTCTCCTTTTCTCTCTCGGTTTATACCCCGCATACGCACTCTGGTGAGAAGGACCTGCACGCAGGTGAGGTGAGCAGTGTCCACAGTTGCTATACTCCGCGACAACTTTTCTTGGCATTTCTGGGGAGAGGAGGAGAGCTTCCGCACAGCTTTATTCAGCGCTCAAAATAAGGGGGAATGCTTGCCTGTATCTTCCACTGCATTGCCAAGAAAAGTTGTCGCTGAGTGTAGGATTGCCCGGTGGCGGCGGTGGTGAAAATGGTGATGTCTCTGCACTTTCCTTACTATCAAAGAATGACAGTCGTACGTCGAAGCAGGCGGGTTACTTGTCCTCTCCTTCAAGGGGGAATAGTCTGAGGCAGAACACGGCAAATTGTAAGTTCTGACATCGGTGGCCCCGAGAGGAAAAAAAAGAAAGAGAATTACAGATACGGCGAAGAAAGAAAACAGGCTATGGGTTGGGCATGCTTGTCTTGCCGCAACGAGTTGAGGTGGTTCGAGTACTCATAGACTGTAATTATTTCTGTACCATGCATGACACCGGTGTTTTTGTGCAAAATGAAGCTAGAAAATATTTTCCTGCTTCTTCGTGCATATCGAAGCATCGCCAGCAATATGGTCCCATCCACTGATCTCTACTGGTGAATTCCACTCATAGATCCGGAGCACTTTCCAAAATTCGTGAGAGAGGCAAATTTCCGCTCCGTGGGACCCACTCCGAATCGATGAGGAGAAAATAAACTCGCATATTTGGAGCGACCCCCGCCCCCCTCTTCCACCCTCGGCCATTCAAAATGGCCGCTGCTCGAACTTGACAAGCCCACCATCGCCTCAGCCGACTGACCTTCCTGACGACCAGCGACAACTCTCGCTGCTTAGCTGCGAAAATATCACGCGACACAGAGCGGGCGAAAATATACATACCATGGAGCCCATGTCACAAACAACAAGGAAGACGTCCGCGTTCGCCACCGTCACATACCTTTCGAACACCTCGAAGCGGCGGGACACACACAGTGATTGCTATCAGTGGAGTTCAGATTGCTGGTACAACCTTAATAAACACACAGGTAATAAGCCATCACTTGCACAATTGTTGCGTAATCTGTTCTTGCTTTATTGCAGGAGAAAACGCCGGTGGCATGCAGTGTAAAAGCTTTCAGCCTCTCCACTCTCATGAAGAAGGAAAACCAGCGAAGCTGTACTATGGGGGAAATTAAGTACTTGTAAATGTAAGGATTAGGGTGTGATTGGGTAATTGGTTATGTGAGAACCGTATTGTCCCCAGTTGTCTTTGTTATACCACGTCAACCGCCGAAGGCCCATGAGCGGGAGTCGAGGCGCCACTAGTCGTTCCTCCACCACGTTCAACCTCGGCAGGTGCTCTGGTACGGGTGGGTACTTATAGCCGTTCACGGTCGCGAACCAGGGCACCGCGCCTTTGAGCAGGGAATCTCGACACCTTCTGCACGCCAGTTCTTTCTAAACGTCCGCCTACTCGATACGCTGCCGCAACGCGCACGCGCCCGTTTCCCGATTTTTTTTTGTCCGACACGTCGCCGATTGTGGATAAGTCTCCGGCGAACTAGAGTCTGTCGCACAAGGCACACGTGACATCAAACGTGTTCTCCATAAACTCCCTCCGGAACCTCGCCGTCGCACCCGGGAAGTGTTCAGCTGGCGTGTCAGAAATTACCTTATTAGTCCCCCATTCAGAAATGCCAAAAATGAACAGACGACCTCATGAAGACAGTCGGTGCGAAAAACAAAGGGCAAATAGAAAACTAGGTGAAGCAAGCACCAGTCTTCTACTTGTCTTTTGTGCTAACTGTTTTTGTAATGTCTTACCAACTAGGCCATCAACTTATGCTATTGGAACAGATGATCATTTGGAGCTGTTGTGCATTGTCTGGGGTGCCCTTCCTAGGGTTGAGAGTATCTGTCTCTTGCCTATCTCCAGAGCTGCGGCCTGGACAGTAGCCCCCAAGCGCGCTTCCACCAGCACTGCCTGGTGTGGATGCACCCCCACCTGCCCTGGCTGCGCCTGTTCCCACGCCAGGGGGGCCCCGGGGGCAAGGACCAGGGGACGGCACCCTCCTTCTTTGCAGACCCGAGCGGCGCGGCACGTGCCTCCCTGCAGGCGGACTGGAACCAGAGTTTCCGGTCCCTATACCAGCTGGTGCGGGCTCGCCAGTGCCCCTTTTTCTACGCCTGTGCCCCGGGGTTCACGGTGCTCTTCCGTGCGGCCGGCGTGGCGGGCATCCCGGACCTGCATGCCCTGGTGACGCCCACCACCCGGGGACTGCGCCAGGCCCTGAGGGAAGAGGGTGAGGGGGTCCTTCCTTTGTGTGCGAACCGTCTTTGTGAACGTCCCTTTGTATGAGCAGGTCTCTGCTGGCTTCTGTTTGTGCAGACAAGCCTGTTCGAACTTCTCTCTGTGTAGCTTTATGCATGTGCGGGCTTTATGGCTGTGTGGGCTTTTTGTCTGTGCAAACATGTCTTTCTAGAAGAGCCACCTGTCTAAATATCATGCTTGTCTAAAAGCTGCAGTTGTGTAGAACTCGCATTTGCTTTAAACTTGTTTGTGAAAACTATCTTGCTGCTTTTTGGTTTTTCTAGCTCCTCTATTGAGTAGGAGGACATGTATTGGTGCGAGGAAATGTGCTATTGATATATGGGAATATCAAAGGCTTTGCCATTTTCAGTTTTCAAACTTAATGTTGGGAAATCCGTGGTGTTGATTGTTCCTTTAAACCTACTTTAGTACCATGGCTGCCCTTGGTTACATTGTGGCTCTCGTCAGAGTTGTTCACGCTTGTTTTCTGTACGCACTCAGTATATGCGCATGATGTTGCAGTGGGTTGTATGAGGGAGGGGTAGCTGTTACATCCATAGTGGTTGACACCTCCTGTGTTTAATGTAAACATTCAATAGATTTTGAGAAGATGAGACTAAAGGCTTGTTCACGCAGCCCCATTTTCTTATGTTACGTATAAGTCGCCAAAACTTTGGTGTCTCGAATGTCACGTGCCAGGCTATCTTCTTGAACTGATAGCCACACTTAATTGTGAAGCGTAGGTGTCCCAATGAGTTTCGACTCAAACCGACTTTTCTACTTTTCTACTTTTGACATTGTTTATCTTGTCACAAAGGACAGAAAACACACCTCCTTCCTTCGAAATGTTGCAATTCCGCCACGTAATAGTGGGCCAAAAATTAGAATATTCCCCGACCTGCAGCCGCAAACGGCGGCCATGAGAATCAATTGGCGTAACGTCATTGGACGTCTTGTAGAAAAATAGAAAGTTGCGCGAATACCTGCTCAATAAAAGGTTACTTTTCTATAAATTGTGTTGTTCCAACATACATATAAATGCGTCAAAAACCTGGTATCATCGACAAAACTTTTATTATACGGAGTTTTAGTGGCGCCATCTATCATAGGTCCACAAAACCGTCGGCTCTCTGCAACCACAAACAGCTGCCAAAAGCTGGAGGGGAAAGGGGGCAAAGCCGGACGGGGATGGCCGGGCCCGGATAAGACTTTCCTTTTTTCGCCATATTGTTTGCGCTGCGCCAGCACATAGTCACGTGGTCGCGAGCGGATGAGTTCTTGCTGCTCACTGATGGCACTAGAGAAAGAGCTTCTCCGGAACCCCGCGCGACCCCCATTGACGTCCCAGCGCACGTGGCTCGGAAGCTGGTGAAGGAGTTGAGAGGTGCCAAGAACCTCAACCTTTGTCCATTTTTAAAATAAAAACTAGGACATGCAGGCAAAAGTGGTTTTGTGTTTTTTACTTTAGAAAGGTCAAGGCACCAACTCCCAAATTATTTAAGCAAAGTACTGAAATTGTTGCACAGCTCCTTTAACATAAGACGGGGCTGTGTGAACCAACCTGAACCCTTGGTTGTCGTAAAATCGTGCCACATACAGACTATGCCACGAAACATTAAACATTGTTACGTATTTCAAATTTATACTGAGTGTGCAATGACATTTTTTAATTTGTTTTTATTGCTTGTACTTCGCCTAGGCCTAGAAAAAGGCCCACAGTATCTCCAATAAATAAACAAATAAAATTAATCGGTTCATTCGCGGTTTACCGTCGATCTATATTAGCGGGTCATATGATTCGATAAAGGCGACAAAAAGACTGCCACCACTCCCTATCGTTTCTGCGCTAAATTTGGCAGCCGAAGTATCACCCACTAAATTTAGCAAATGGTGTTGATTTCAATGTTGCTCTTTTATGAGACTGTTTCTCTCCCTGCACACTATTGCATGAGGACAAATAACTTGTAGCATATGTTTTGTGCTTAGTCGGTCCTTTAGCTTTGATGTCAGTACTTTACGATTGAAGGGGGTCTTGCAATTGCATGCTTTTACACTGAGCAGTTTCATTGGCCAGAACTTTTTGTGTCCGAGTGACACACAAAGAAAGCTCGGATGCAGTTCTGTCTCTATTCTAACGCACAATGGGTTATAATGGCCGGCGCCTAACCGTATCCGGTTAGGCGCCAGTGACAGAAGTCGACGGGTGGACTGCCATCCCAAGGATGACGCGGCGCTCTTCTCCTCACCCGTTGGACACCAGTTTCGGCCAAACCTCTTCTTTGAGTGCCTCCGTGTCACTCCCAGTGGCACTGAAACACCACGTGTTCGGACGTACAGCGGCACTGCGAGCGCCCTCCGGGTTTCCTTAGAGAAAGGGTGCAAGAGAGGGCAGCAGAAAAGAAAGTGGACGCTCACTTTGCCGCGAACTGGCGCTGGGGCTCTGCTTGGCGTTGCTGCGTTCCGATTGTTCTGTTTTCCGCACGCTCCATCTACCGCATCTTGCGCTCCAACAGACTCCGAGAAAGTCACTTTTGCGCTGCAACCACAGAAGATGGCAACCACAAGTAAGAAGTGCGGAGCGCTTGCTTGCTTATTTCGCACAACACAAGGCCGCTTCGTGTCATCAAGCTTCCACATGTGTGCAGAGTTTCTTCACACTAACACGTAGCGTTTTGTGTTACCACTGCCTTTGCAACGTTAAAACAACAATGGCAACCTTTCTTTTTCTTTTTTTCAACTTGCAGTTTGTTTTGCGACGGTAGCCTCCGGTCGATGGTGCCTGCAGCAATTGAGATGCTCAGAAGTGACTTTGTTTTGTGTTTCAGGAATCCAGTACAGCATGCCCCTCTGCGCAAATCAAGAGCAAATGGATGAAACATTGGACGGTGCTTCCCAGTCTCCGGTCGAGGTCAAGGCTGAAGTGTATGTCCGTTTTCTTGGCCCTCTTTGAGAGGGCTATAAACCATTATAATGTAAATAATGGGTAAGAACACAAAACACAAGGACGGTGTTCTTCCCATTATTTACATTAGGTGCTCACTATGGTGAGGGAGCCCGTCACTGCAGTGCAGCCGGCAAAAGTGAAGGGGCCCCGTCACTGTAGTTAGTTCGATAGGCAAAAGTGAGGGGCCCCGTCCCGTGGTTCAATCTATGTCTAACGAGACGGTGAGAGGGCTTATAATTTATACGCGCTTTAACCTAAGGCCCCCCCTTCTTCCCTTTCCTCCTGCATTAACACACACGGCCAACAATTCAATCATGCGGCATTATTGAAAGTTAGGAGGGTCCGTCACTGTTGCGCGGCCGGCAAGAGTTAGGGGGCCCGTCCTCTGTTGTATGTGGTGGGAACAGTGAGAAATAATAACTTGTAATTTACAAGCACATTAACCCATGCTTCGTGGTCCTGTCTCTGTCCGTGCACATAAATATAGCATCTGTAACCTAAATAAAAAAAAAATTAAAAGTGAGAAAAAAAAGTATTGTTCCGAACGCGATTCGAACCGTAGACCCCCAGGTCGTGAAGCCGACGCTGTACCTCAGCGCCACGAAGCGCTTCCGGAATGGGGTATCCATTGGACATCCGTATCGGTAAGCTGTTGCCCCGTCACCGTAGTGCAGTTTCTAAAGTGAGGGGCCCCGTCACTGTAGTCAGTTCCTTTACATTATCCTTACCAGTACGCTCTCCATTCCAAGTACAAACCATTTTTTCTATTTGCACGAGTATTGTCATTCTTTCGGTGTTGTCGGCATTAGGGATTCACGCAGAAGCTTACCTTAAATATTGCCACATGTGTGATGCAGTTGGCAATGTGTACGGCTACCACGTGCAAAAACAGTGCTCTGTGCTCGCTTGACCCCGTTCGTAGCCATTCTCGGCTGTCGTCGAATGTTCCGATCCGGAACATTCCCGAATGTGCATAAAAGCAGGGTAGCGCGCTGCGTCGGCACATTTCCTGTCTGTCATTGACGCGAGGTGAGGGGTACCTTTCTCTTTGAGTTTCTAGGCATAACTTTGCCTCATTAAGCATTTATTTTAATGCTTTAGCATCGATGCCTCGGTACATGTGCCCCGCCGGCAGCTCAAGTACGCCCTAACTGCCAGGTCTTGCATCGCACGGCCGGTGTACGGATGCTGGCTTTGGACACCTTTGGAATCCCCTGCCACCAGCTTTGGACACCTTGGATGCACACGGGCTGCGATTCCGCCCTTCGGCCTGCTACGCCGTTCTTGATGCGCAGTCGTTTTTGAAGCGCTCGGTGTCGTCGCCCCTGTATGCATAGGGTTCTTTGTTTTCAGGTTTTACTTTTGTCAGTGGCTATTTTAACGTCCGGCAATTTTTATCTTGTTTTGGTGGTTGTGCCCCCATTGTCCTCCTTGCATCCTCATTTAGGGCTGCCCTTCTTGTTTTGCACCCGCTAGTTTAAGGGTTCAAAGCTCCCAAAGTCTTAAGTGAGTTTGGCGCATTTTCCTACTGGGGCCATCTGGCTTAACTTTGATTTTCTTTTGTGCGCTTTTCCGTCTAGGGTCAAGCTAAATCAACTGAAAAAAAATGTTAGTAAAGTGACGGTAAAATTCTTAAAAAAAGTTCCCTTATTAAGGAAATGATGTCACTGACATGAAAACGAAAATTAAATCCGAAAACGAAGAACCCTATGTATTCACGACATGTATGCAGAAGAACGAAATGACTCTGTCGTTTTACAAGCATTGCTCTCACGTCCTTCATCTGCTTGATCTGCTTGCACTGGAGAGAATTGGGGTTTCAGGAATATTCACCCTGCGGTAAATTGCCGAGAGGCTGCATTCACCATGCTTTGTTATGTATAAACGCTGCCCGAAGTGCTAACGCATTTCTTCGGGAGTCAGCATAACGGCAGCGGCGATTTTGGCCCAGTTTTTTGTTTTGTATTCGTCGACAGTTTTTCTTATCTGTGAATATGCTCACTTTTGGCACCCACAACAAGGTAGCAGTCTGCCTGGCCCTTTCATCGGAAGTATAGTCAGAAAAAATACCTACTTCTCGGTCAGTCCGATATTTTCCAAGTTTAATAACTCGTGCTTTGTGAGCCTTTCATTTATTCTGTACCGTATTCTCTCACAAAAACAGTGCACTCTCAATGATGCAGTTATCGTTGATGCAAATTTTGGATCGATTGAACATTATTTAGAAATCTCAGCCAAAACGTTTTATCAGCATGTGCTACATTTTGGGGTATATAGTGTGAATGCTCTCTCGCCGTGGTGGGCAACACAAAAAAAAAAGTTCCAACATGAAGAGCCTAGAATTTTTCGATTTTTAAAATATCGAGAAAAGTTGTGGTAAACAACGTTGCACCGCCACCTGGTCTCCCGAGTGCGGCACTCCCCATCGCTTGGGTGGCTTTAAGCTTCTTTCCTCACCCTAGGGTGTACCTTTGTATTTGAGAATGCAAAAGCCTACCTGCATCAGAAGTGTTGAAAACTAGACCAGTTGGTATTGATTGATTAGTGAAACAGTACGCAAAAAACGGTGATAGAAATTTGTAAACACTTATGCAACCCATAGATGGAGCACAGCGACAGCTGAGGTGGGAAGTCGGTGCTGCTAAGGTGTCGTTTCGGAGCAGACTGACTGAATGGACGGTAAAGGTGCAAGCGTGTACCACTAGAGTCTGCATGGGCGCTTCATATTAAACCGAGTAACACACCGTATGAAAATCACATAGTGTTTTTGTAGTATCCTGAGGACACGAAGAAAGGGTCGACTAGTCCAATCGAACGTTGAACGAAAAAGCGTTTTTAATGCGGGTCATAGGTTGCCAGATCACGTTATGGTATGTACAGTGTTGCCGACATAAAAGCAGAACACAACATCATCCCCCCCTGAAAAACGAAACAACTAAATGAAAAATGGCTAATTTATATGAAAGTCCTGCAGACGGGAGGGACGCCGTCGTTCTCTTGTCGACGGTCCTCTGCAAGGTCCGTCCGACCACGTCGTTCCTTGAGCCTGTGTAGGCGCCGCAGAATCTTCCAGTCGAAGTCCAACAACAGGACATTCATCTTGTGACACTTGTACCGGCGATGTCAAAACTTCCCGACGTTGTTCTTCAATGGAATCTGGTCCAATCGTAATTTGTATTGGCGTCTCCGAAGCTGCTAGGCGATGTTCCTCAATCAAGTCTGCGCCTCCAGAAACTTGACATGGTGTTGTCACAGCTTTGCGATTCTACCCAACGGAGTGTTCGCCTTGGTTGTCCGAGATGGTTCTCCTGGCTGACTGTTCTTGATCTCCAGGAACGGGTAGCAAGTGCAGCAACCGTCTACCTCTTTCCGTGACGCACTCCTCAGGCACAGCCACCAGCTTGGAGGCATTCCAGCTGCGTCCGTCTTCCAAGCGGAAAGTGCTTGGACCCACCTGTTTCTGTATTTTCAGTGGTCGGGAATATGATAGATCACCCTTACCGCCACTTGTGGGTTTACGGACCCGTATGAAATCTCCCTCCTTGAATTTTGGAGTTTTGGCACTTCTTTTCGCATCTGTATACTCCTTCGTCGAGCGCTGCTTGCTTTGGACACGAGCTCGTAACTGTTCCATTGCCGTGGCTGGCTCCTGGAAGAAGTTCTTTGACGAAAGGCCCATGATGTCAAGTCGGGTCCTTGGTTGGCGACCGTGGAGGAGCTGAGCAGGAGACACTCCTGTGGTTGAGTGTGGGGTAGACCGATATACGCCCAAGTAGTCCACGACGGCTTCTTTAAGCGGTCGTCCTTCCAAAACTGAAACTTGAATAAAGTCCTTCAGGCTCCTGTTGAATCGTTCGACCAACCCATTGGCCTGTGGGTAGTATACCGACGAGACACAGTGCTTGATTCCTCTTTGGTTCAGGAAGTCTTCAAAAAGCTTCGACTTGAACTGTGGCCCGTTGTCTGTTACGAGTTCTTCCGGATAGCCCTCCCGACTGACGACGCCTCGCAAGAAATCTATCACCGCTTGTGACGTAACTGTATTTGCAAAACAAACTTCCGGCCACTTGGAATGGTAGTCCACAAGGGTGACGACAAACTTAGGACCTGCGGTGGTCAGGTTCAGCGGGCCCACGATGTCCATAGCCAGCTTCTGCCAGGGCTTTTCCGGGAGAGTAACTGGACGTAGTGGTGCCACGACCGGTTTGGCTGACATGTCGGCTGATTGGCACACGTGACAACTTCGCACGGCACACTCCACCTGCCTGTCCATCCGGGGCCACCAGAACTTGTCTCGAAGTCTTTGTTTGGTTTTCACGATGCCAGGGTGTGCCTCGTGTGCAAAAGAAACCAAGTCCTAGGTCAGCGAATCCGGCACAACAACTTTGTCTTCCCTGAAGACTATGCCATCCACGATGGACAATTCTTTCCTAAGCTGGAAGAAAGGCATCAGCTCCTGAGTGAGCATCCTCTTTGCTGGCCATCCCTTCTCAAGGTACTTGGTCACTAGCTGTAGGGTAGGATCCTTGGCCGTTACGACTTGCACTTGATCTTTGGTGATGCAAGATGACACCAAAGACACAACTTCTTCCTCCATCTCTGGCTCTGCTGCTGCCACCAAAGGTAGTCGGGACAGCGCATCTGCGACAGCATTGTCGCTGCCTCTTTGATAGACGATGTCAAAATTGTAGTAAACGTGTCTCGCTGTCCACCTTGCAATTCGTAGTGGCCTCCTGCTGGAACCTCTGGACGATAACAGAGTCACCAGCGCCTGGTGATCCGTTCTAAGTAGGAACCTTCGGCCCCAGAGGTAGATGTGCCAATGTTCACAAGCAAACAAACATGCCGACGCCTCCTTTTCCCCAGCAGAGTACCTCCGCTTGGTAGAAGTCAGTGACCTGGATGCAAAGGCCACAGTGTGTAGCTCTTGCCCAGCTTGTTGCTGAAGGACGGCTCCAAGGCCAGTGTCTGATGCATT